AAGCGTCGGATGCCGTGGTGCAAAGCACGCCGCCACTGGACTCTAGAGCAGTGGAGACGCGTTCTCTGGAGTGAAGAATCACACTTCTCTGTCTGGCAATCCGATGGACGTGTCTGGGCTTGGTGGTTGCCAGGAGAACAGTACTTGCCTGACTGCATTGTGCCAAGTGTAAAGTCTGGTGGAGGGGGGGATTATGGTGTGGAGTTGTTCCTCAGGGGTTGGGCTTGGCCCCCTAGTTCCAGTGAAGGGAACGCTTAAGGCAACATTTCGGACAATTTCATGCTCCCAACTTTGTGGGAAGAGTTTGGGGATGGCCCCTTCCTGTTCCAACATGACTGCACTCCAGTGCACAAAGCAAAGTCCATAAAGACACGGAGGAGCCAGTTTGGGGGGGTGGAGGAACTTGACTGTCCTGCACAGAGTCCTGACCTCAACCCCATAGAACACCTTTGGGATGAATTAGAGTGGAGACTGCGAGCCAGGCCTCCTCCCCCGACATCAGTGCCTGACCTGACTAATGTACTTCTGGAAGAATGGTCCAACCTTCCCATAGACACCCTCCTAAACCTTGTGGACGGCCTTCCCAGAAGAGTTGAAGCTGTTATAGCTGCAAAGGGCGGGGCCAACTCAATATTGAACCCTACGGACTAAGACCGGGGGGCCATTAAAGGTCATGTGCATGGAAAGGGCGGGGCCAACTCAATATTGAACCCTACGGACTAAGACTGGGGGGACCATTAAAGGTCATGTGTGTGGGAAGGGCGGGGCCAACTCAATATTGAACCCTACGGACTAAGACTGGGAGGCCATTAAAGGTCATGTGTGTGGGAAGGGCGGGGCCAACTCAATATTGAACCCTACGGACTAAGAATGGGAGGCCATTAAAGTTCATGTGCGTGGAAAAGCAGGCCAACCAATACTTGGGGCAATATAATGTTGACCTATCATTTGTTATAACTGCAATTATTCTGCAACAAAGTGAGTATTTTCCTCGTTACATAAACCCTGGAGGAGCCTAAACAGGCATAAGAATGGGCAGGGACGGCTTTATATCTCAGAAGCCTATAGGCACAGCAAATATGGGGCCTTAAGCTCCACCCAGAAAAAGACCACGCCCCTGCCACTGCTAATGGCCTGGCTTCCGTATGTGGCATCACTGGCCTCCGACCCAACCAGCCTCGTTGTTTTGCTGTAACAATGATCTTTGTAACCAACAAATAATTGTCTATACAGTGTTGTATGAGTGATGTGAAGGATGTTCCTGTCCACTGGACCTCTAGCACCACGTACCCATCACCTCCATCCTCAACTCTGGAGACGGGTCCCTCACCACCTGGACATTTCTCAGTGCAGATCTCCAATAGAATAGACACCACAACCATCAATGGTAAAATAGGTTTAATCTGAAAACATGGATTTTCTTGTAAACCACAACCAGGCAGCAGATATCTCACAGACCAAGGTGACAAGACATCTCCATTAGGACTGCAACTCTGAGAGAAGGACCAGATCTCTGGCCTGTGTTGTGTACTAGGAAAAGTGGAGATAGTATACATATCCCCGAGCCCTGTCCCTCCGTCCTCCATACCCCCGAGCCCTGTCCCTCCATCCTCCCGAGCCCTGTCCCTCCGTACCCCATACCCCCGATCCGTCCCCTCCGTCCCCCATACCCAACAGCCCTGTCCCTCAGTCTTCCATACCCCCAAGCCCTGTCCCTCCGTCCTCCATCCCCCAAGCCCTGTCCCTCCGTCCTCCATACCGTCCCCTCCGTCCTCCATACCCAACAGCCCTGTCCCTCCGTCCTCCATACCCCAGACCCGTTCCCTCCGTCCTCCATACCCCAGAGCCCTGTGCCTCCGTCCTCCATACATCCGTCCTTCTATGCGCTCATCCTCAGACCCCTGTTCTCCATACTTCAAAGCCCACTCTTTCCATCCTCCAGACCCCTGACCCTCTATCCTCCCTACACCAGGCCATCTGTTCATCATATCCCAGACCACTGTCTTTCTGTCCTCCATACCCCAAAAACCTGTCCCTCTGTCCACCAGTTTGCAGATCCCCCAGACCCCAATCATTCTGTTCTCCCTATCCCAGGACCTCTGCTCCTCATACCCCAAACCCTATCCCACTGTCACCCAACCCCAGAGCCTTCATCCCTTTATACTCGAAGCAAATGCTTCTTTGTCCTCCACGCTCAAGACGACCGTCCCTTCTACCCCCTAGACCCTTGCCGCTTGGATTTCCTTACCTCCATACACCAGACTCCTGTCCTGCATACACCAGACCCCGTCCCTCTGTCCTCCATACGCCAGACCCCCGTCCTCCATACACCAGAGCCCCGTCCTCCATACACCAGAGCCCCGTCCCCCTGTCCTCCATACACCCGTCCCTCTGTCCTCCATACACCCGTCCCTCTGTCCTCCATACATTAGACCCCCGTCCCTCTGTCCTCCATACACCAGACCCCCGTCCCTCTGTCCTCCATACACCAGACCCCCATCCCTCTGTCCTCCATACACCAGACCCCCCATCCCTCTGTCCTCCATACACCAGACCCCCATCCCTCTGTCCTCCATACACCAGACCCCCGTCCCTCTGTCCTCCATACACCAGACCCCCGTCCCTCTGTCCTCCATACACCAGACCCCCGTCCCTCTGTCCTCCATACACCAGACCCCCGTCCCTCTGTCCTCCATACACCAGACCCCCGTCCCTCTGTCCTCCATACACCAGACCCCCGTCCCTCTGTCCTCCATACACCAGACCCCCGTCCCTCTGTCCTCCATACACCAGACCCCCGTCCCTCTGTCCTCCATACACCAGACCCACATCTCTCTGTCCTCCATACATCAGACCCCGTCCCTCTATCTTCCAGACTCTAGAACTCTCAAGCCTCGGTCCTCAGCGCCATGTGGAGCAGCAGGATTGATATGCTAAGCACACAGTTCTGTATCACCTCTCCTGGGAAAGGAGGAATATCTGCAGCATTCAAGGACAGGAGGCTCGAAGCGGCCAGGGCCAGGCTGCCCAGCACTCCATAACTGTTCCCAGTGAACACCGAGATCATCAGAACTGCCAAGGTTGCTCCAACTTTGGTGAAAGAAGGGGCCACTTTTTGGGTTTCTCGAGACAGATACCCGTAGCCCATGGCTAGAAGCAGTGCAGAGCCCAGGACCACGTTGGCTGTCAGCTGGTCTCCATTCAGCCAGAAGAAGGAGAAGACCACGAGAGGCAGGCCAATAATACTGGCAATCCATATACTGGAGCAGTGGGGAGAGCCGGGGTCATCGGTCTCCTCCCACAGAAGGTCACATCCTATGGCGATGGCAGAAGCCGCGGCGTGGAGCAAGAATCCAGCGGATGCCCCTCGGTGCACCTGAAAATACAACGGAACCTCAGAATTCAGGAACAGACCAACAAAAATGTTATGTGTGAGCAAGACCACCCCACCCCCACCCCCCACCATAGCGGTTCTGCTGCTCACCTGCAGAGTGCGCACAGCTGAGTAGAGGCACACGGCACTAAGACAAAGATGTGAGACCACCAGACCCAGCTCTGGGACCCCCATCACCGGGGAGGACAGCCACTGCCAGACACAGAGAGAAGAGGTCAGAGAGATCACACAGAGATTGTGTATGGGAACCCCAAATATTACCACCTCCCATCACACATCTGTATCTCCACCCACAATGTCCCTTCGCCCTCAGCTTCCCTCCATCCGCCCCTCCGCCCCGCAGCTCCCCGCCGTCCTCCCCTCCACCCGCAGCTCCCCGCCGTCCTCCCCTCCACCCGCAGCTCCCCTCCATCCTCCCCTCTGCCAGCAGCTCCCCGCCGTCCTCCCTCTCCGCTCGCAGCTCCCCGCCGTCCTCCCCTCCGCTCGCAGCTTCCCTCCATCCTCCCCTCTGCCCGCAGCTCCCCGCCCTCCGCCCGCTGCTCCCCGCCGTCCGCCCCTCCGCCCGCAGCTCCCCGCCGTCCTCCCCTCCGCCCCGCAACTCACCGCCGTCCTCCCCTCCGCCTGCAGCTCCCCTTCGCCCTCAGCTTCCCTCCATCCGCCCCTCCGCCCCGCAGCTCCCCGCCATCCTCCCCTCCGCCCGCTGCTCCCCTCCCGCCCGCAGCTCCCCGCAGTCCACCCCTCTGCCCGCTGCTCCCCGCCGTCCTCCCCTCCGCCAGCAGCTCCCCCCCGCCGTCCTCTCCTCCGCCAGCAGCTCCCCGCCGTCCTCCCCTCTGCCCCCGCAGCTCCCCTCTGCCGGGAGCTCCCCGCCATCCTCCGCTCGCAGCTCCCCGCCGTCCTCCCCTCCGCCCGCAGCTCCCCGCCGTCCGCCCCTCCGCTCGCAGCTCCCCGCCGTCCGCCCCTCCGCTCGCAGCTCCCCGCCGTCCGCCCCTCCGCCCGCTGCTCCCCTCCGCCCGCTGCTCCCCGCCGTCCTCTCCTCCCCTCCGCCCGCAGCTCCCCTCCATCCTCCCCTCCGCCCGCAGCTCCCCGCCGTCCGCCCCTCCGCTCAGCTCCCGCCGTCCTCCCCCCGCTCCGCTCCCCGCCGTCCCGCCCCCTCCCGCTCCCCCCGCCGTCCTCCCCTCTGCCCGCAGCTCCCCTCTGCCGGGAGCTCCCCGCCGTCCTCCCCCTCCGCTCGCAGCTCCCCGCCGTCCGCAGCTCCCCGCCGTCCTCCCCCCGCCGTCCTCCCTCGCAACTCCCCGCCGTCCCTCCCCCCCTCCGCCTGCAGCTCCCCGCCGTCCAGCTCCCCGCCGTCCTCCCCTCCGTCCGCAGCTCCCCGCCGTCCGCCCCTCCGCTCGCAACTCACCGCCACCCTCCCCTCCGCCCGCAATGCTTCTCAGTCCTCCCTTCCACCCCTCCACCCGCAACTCCCCGTTGTCCTCCCCTCTACCCCCTGCTGTCCCTCATCACCCCTGTAGTCTCCTCCACCCAGAACACCCGCTATATCTTCTCCATCACACCTCCTCCTCCCTGTCCTGACACCCGCAATCCCCCATCATATCTGTCCTCCATGTCTCGGGTCAGTTTGAATGTCCCGCTCCCCGGCTCTCCCCGGATGATCCTCCCGAATCCCCTCCCCCTCCTTCCTCCTCCGGTATGGGGATCGCACACCTGGCCGATCTGCTCCGAGAAGAGACCCCGGATGCCATCCAATCCCCGCCCCCCGACCACTACCAAGGTGAGTGACGTCACATTACCACAGGTACCAGGACAACCGAAGGGGGCGTAACTGACCCGATAGATCGGGGCGGTACTCCAGAAGCCGGACACTTCCGGGTGGGACACACCGACTTCCTGTGTATACAGAGGCGCTGTCACCGCTGATCACACGGCCCCAATACCGCCCCTACCGGGGGATATAGTGTGTGATCACCGGACAGTGCCACCATCAGTGTCCCCTCCGTCCCAGCATCACCCCCCCCCACTTCAGTATTCTCCCCAAGTGGCCCTGTCCCCAAGTGGCCCTGTCACCCCCCCTTAACCCCAATATTCCCCCCAGGTGGCCCTGTCACCCCCCATACCCTCTCAACCCCAGTATTCCCCAAGTGGCCCTGTCACCCCCCCCCCCCATACCCTCCCCTCACCCCAGTATCCCCCCCCCAAGTAGTCTTGTCACCCCCCATACTCTCCCTTCACCCCAGTACTCCCCCTAAGTGTCCCTGTTACCCCCCCCCCCCCCCCATACTCCCCTTCACCCCAGTATTCCCCCCCCCCCAAGTAGTCTTGTCACCCCCATACTCTCCCTTCACCCCAGTACTCCCCCTAAGTGTCCCTGTCACCCCCTTCACCCCAGTACTCCCCCTAAGTGTCCCTGTCACCCCCCTTCACCCCAGTACTCCCCCCTAAGTGTCCCTGTCACCCCCCCCCATCACCCCAGTACTCCCCCTAAGTGTCCCTGTCACCCCCCTTCACCCCAGTACTCCCCCTAAGCGTCCCTGTCACCCCCCTTCACCCCAGTACTCCCCCTAAGTGTTCCTGTCACCCCCCTTCACCTCAGTATTCCCCCTAAGTGTCCCTGTCACCCCCCCCATACCCTTCCTTCACCCCAGTATTCCCCCCCAAGTGGCTCTGTCACCTCCCCATACCCTCCCTTCACCCCAGTATTCCCCCCAAGTGGCCCTGTCTCCCCCAGTACCATCCCTACACCCCAGTATCCCTTCTTCCCCCCAAATGGCCTTGTCATCCTTCAGCACCCCATAGTTCTCTTCCTACACCCCAGTATCCCTCCCCAAGGGGCCCTGTCACTACGCTGCTTCTTTTGGTTTCCTCTTAACACCCCATTATACTTCAGACACAAGTGGTCCTGTCGTCCTCCAACACCCTCAGTACCCTCTACATCACAGTATCCCCCCTTGTGCAAGTGCCTGTTTGACCCTCTAGCACCACATGGTATCCTCATAGCACCCCAGTATCCAGTGGCCCTGTCACCCTTGTACCCTCCCTACACCCCAGTATCCCCTCTCTCACCTTTTAGTACCCCCAGTACCCTCTCTATCACAGTAACCCCCTCCTCCAAATGGCTGTGTTGCCCTCCATCACTCCCCCATACCCTTTTACAGTCCCCAGTACCCCTCTTAAGTGGCCCTGTTGTCCTCCAATGCCCTGTAGTATCCTTCCACCACCCCAATATTCCACCTCCCAAGTGTCCCTTGCATAGTAAGCTTCCTACACCCCAGTACCCCCCCAGGACTGCCCAAGAAGTCTGCCCTTCAGTAGCACCTTCTACTACCCTCCCTCTACCCCTCAGCTTTTATCCCACCGTTTCTTCAACTGATGGTATATGTTAAGGAGGAAGGACAGCATAGTGGACAGGATTGGAGGACAGCATAGTGGACAGGATGGTGAAAGAATAGCAGGATGGAGGGAGGATAGCATAGTGGACAGGATGGTGGAAGGATAGCATAGTGGACAGGATGGGGGAAGGATAACATAGTGGACAGGATGGGGGAAGGATAGCATAGTGGACAGGATGGTGGAAGGATAACATAGTGGACAGGATGGGGGAAGGATAGCATAGTGGACAGGATGGGGGGAAGGATAGCAGGATGGAGGGAGGATAGCATAGCAGAAAGGATGGTGAAGGATAACATAGTGGACAGGATGGTGAAGGATAGCATAGTGGACAGGATGGGGGAAGGATAACATAGTGGGACAGGATGGGGGAGGGATAGCATAGTGGACAGGGTGGTGAAGGATAGCATAGTGGACAGGATGGTGGAAGGATAGCATGGATGGAGGGAGGATAGCATAGCAGAAAAGGATGGTGAAGGATAACATAGTGGACAGGATGGGGGGAGGGACAGCATAGTGGACAGGATGGGGGAAGGATAACATAGTGGACAGGATGGGGAAGGACAGCAAAGTGGACAGGATGGGGGAAGGATAGCAAAGTGGACAGGATGGTGGAAGGATAGCATAGTGGACAGGATGGTGGAAGGATGGCATAGTGGACAGGATGGTGAAGGATAGCATAGTGGACAGGATGGTGGAAGGATAGCATAGTGGACAGGATGGTGGAAGGATAGCATGTGGACAGGATGGTGGAAGGATAGCATAGTGGACAGGATGGTGAAGGATAGCATAGTGGACAGGATGGTGAAGGATAGCATAGTGGACAGGATGGTGGAAGGATAGCATAGTGGACAGGATGGTGAAAGGATGGCATAGCAGAAAGGATGGTGGAAGGATAGCATAGTGTGGACAGGATGGGGGAAGGATAGCATAGTGGACAGGATGGTGGAAGGATAGCATAGTGGACAGGATGGGGGAAGGACAGCATAGTGGACAGGATGGTGAAGGATAGCATAGTGGACAGGATGGGGGAAGGATAGCATAGGGGACAGGATAGCATAGGGAAGGATGGTGGAAGGAGCATAGTGGAAAGGATGGTGGAAGGATAGCATAGTGGACAGGATGGTGGAAGGATAGCATAGTGGACAGGATGGGGAAGGATAGCATAGTGGACAGGATGGTGGAAGGATAGCATAGTGGACAGGATGGGGGAAGGATAGCATAGTGGACAGGATGGGGGAAGGATAGCATAGTGGACAGGATGGGGGAAGGATAGCATAGTGGACAGGATGGTGGAAGGATAGCATAGTGGACAGGATGGTGGGATAGTATAGTGGACAGGATGGTGGAAGGATAGCATAGTGGACAGGACTGGGATAGATAGTGGACAGGATGGTGAAGGATGGTGGAAGGATGGCATAGTGGACAGGATGGTGAAGGATAGCATAGTGGACAGGATGGTGGAAGGATAGCATAGTGGACAGGATGGTGAAAGGATGGCATAGGGACAGGATGGTGGAAGGATAGCATAGTGGACAGGATGGGGGAAGGATAGCATAGTGGACAGGATGGGGGAAGGATAGCATAGTGGACAGGATGGTGGAAGGATAGCATAGTGGACAGGATGGGGGAAGGATAGCATAGTGGACAGGATGGTGGAAGGATAGCATAGTGGACAGGATGAGGGAAGGATAGCATAGTGGACAGGATGGGGGAAGGATAGTATAGTGGACAGGATGGGGGAAGGATAGCACAGTGGACAGGATTGGAGGATAGTATAGCATAGTGGACAGGATGGGGGAAGGAAGGATAGCATAGTGGACAGGATGGTGGAAGGATAGCATAGTGGACAGGATGGTGGAAGGATAGCATAGTGGACAGGATGGGGGAAGGATAGCATAGTGGACAGGATGGTGGAAGGATAGCATAGTGGACAGGATGGGGGAAGGATAGCATAGTGGACAGGATGGGGAAGGATAGCATAGTGGACAGGATGGGGGAGGATAGCATAGTGGACAGGATGGTGGAAGGATAGCATAGTGGACAGGATGGGGGAAGGATAGCATAGTGGACAGGACTGGAGGATAGTATAGTGGACAGGATGGTGGAAGGATAGTATAGTGGACAGGATGGTGGAAGGATAGCATAGTGGACAGGATGGGGGAAGGATAGCATAGTGGACAGGATGGGGGAAGGAAGGATAGCATAGTGGACAGGACTGGAGGATAGTATAGTGGACAGGATGGTGGAAGGATAGTATAGTGGACGGATGGGGGAAGGATAGCACAGTGGACGGGATGGGGGGAAGGATAGCATAGTGGACAGGATGGTGGAAGGATAGCATAGTGGACAGGATGGAGGGAGGATAGCATAGTGGACAGGATGGGGGAAAGGATAGCATAGTGGGACAGGATGGGGGAAGGATAGCATAGTGGACAGGATGGGGGAAGGATAGCATAGTGGACAGGATGGGGGAAGGATAGCATAGTGGACAGGATGGTGGGATGAAGGATAGCATAGTGGACAGGATAAGGGGAAGGATGGCTAGTGGGACAGGATGGGGAAAGGATAGCATAGTGGACAGGATGGGGAAGGATAGCATAGTGGACAGGATGGGGAAGGATAGCATAGTGGACAGGATGGGGGGAAGGATAGCATAGTGGACAGGATGGGGGAAGGATAGCATAGTGGACAGGATGGATAGTGGACAGGATAGTGGACAGGATGGTGGGAAGGATAGCATAGTGGACAGGATGGTGGAAGGATAGCATAGTGGACAGGATGGGGACATAGTGGAAGGGGGGAAGGATAGATAGTGGACAGGATGGTGGAAGGATAGTGGACAGGAAGGTGGAAGGATAGCATAGTGGACAGGATGGGGGAAGGATAGCATAGTGGACAGGATGGTGGAAGGATAGCATAGTGGACAGGATGGGGGAAGGATAGCATAGTGGACAGGATGGGGGAAGGATAGCATAGTGGACAGGATGGGGGGAAGGATAGCATAGTGGACAGGATGGTGGAAGGATAGCATAGTGGACAGGATGGTGGAAGGATAGCATAGTGGACAGGACTGGAGGATAGTATAGTGGACAGGATGGTGGAAGGATAGTATAGTGGACAGGATGGTGGAAGGATAGCATAGTGGACAGGATGGGGGAAGGATAGCATAGTGGACAGGATGGGGGGAAGGATAGCATAGTGGACAGGATGGAGGATAGTATAGTGGACAGGATGGTGGAAGGATAGTATAGTGGACAGGATGGGGGAAGGATAGCACAGTGGACGGGATGGGGGAAGGATAGCATAGTGGACAGGATGGTGGAAGGATAGCATAGTGGACAGGATGGAGGGAGGATAGCATAGTGGACAGGATGGGGAAAGGATAGCATAGTGGACAGGATGGGGGAAGGATAGCATAGTGGACAGGATGGGGAAGGATAGCATAGTGGACAGGATGGGGAGGATAGTATAGTGGACAGGATGGGGGAAGGATAGCACAGTGGACGGGATGGGGGAAGGATAGCATAGTGGACAGGATGGTGGAAGGATAGCATAGTGGACAGGATGGGGGAAGGATAGCATAGTGGACAGGATGGTGGAAGGATAGCATAGTGGACAGGATGGGGAAGGATAGCATAGTGGACAGGACTGGAGGATAGTTTAGTGGACAGGATGGAGGGAGGATAGCATAGTGGACAGGACTGGAGGATAGTATAGTGGACAGGATGGAGGGAGGATAGCATAGTGGACAGGACTGGAGGATAGTATAGTGGACAGGATGGGAGAAGGATAGCATAGTGGACAGGGATAGGAAGGGCAGTCTTATTGTTATGAGCGATCCTTTGGCAATGTTGGGGGCCACACATGAGGCTCCCAATATCAGGAAATGTGTTCTATATTCTTGGCATCACCGACAGAAATCTGTACAGAAGATTAGAAATACAATGTGAACAGATAGAAGAGTTTGAATGTATTTCAGGAATATTTCAGTTCATGAACAGTGGGGTGATCCCGGGAGATCAGTGATATATTTCTGTGATTGCTTCCTGCAGGGAAAGTCCTGGCGGTGGACGCCTCCATGTTTATCTGGCAGTTCCAGTCAGCGATGCCGCCACTTTCCAACCGCCACGGCGAGAACATCAGGTGAGTGCGTACCGGGGAGGATAGACACCACTCTCACTCCTCTTGTATCACAACTACTGTTACGGGTCCCAATCAATCACATTCACTGGAGCCTAAATCTGACCTCCAGCCCTCCCTTCAGTCTTGCACAGTTGTAGCGGCTCCCCTCCTGGACTGAAGTGGCTTACTCTGATTTCACTGCACACTGTGAGCTTCTCACAATGTGCATTAGAAGTGGCAACACGTCAGATAGAGCTCTGCCTCATTTCCTTGCTGGAGGACATCCAACATCATTTAGTTCTTTCCTCCCCAGCTTTACTGTCCCTGGCCCGCTCCTTTCATTCATCGGATTTCAGTTCCTTCAATCTTGGAAGATCAGCATCACATGTGGGCTTTACCTAGGGTGGTCTGCATAAATACACAGTCTGCCTTGGAATGCCCACTCCTCCAGACTGACATCCACCCATCAAGGCGTTTTGAAGTTTGCATAATTCCTCCAAGAACGAGCCCACTGCTTGCATCAGGACTGAGAGGAGTACCGAGGCCGGGTGTTGTGTTTAAGTAGCTATGCACAGCACCTTGCCAGCCACAAAAAAGCCCGGTGAGGCGTGCCAAAGTGTTGGAAGGCATACTGTAACCGGGCTTTCTGGTCGCATTGGTGAAGTAAAGGGTTCCTTCTGGAAACTCAGTCATGCAGCTCATTTTTGTTACAGTAACATCGTATTGTGCTCCTTGAAGCATCCACACCGTCTTTTTCCAGAGCAGCCTGTATTTCTCATGAGGATACCTGTGGGGGGTTTTTCTTTATATCCCGAACAATTCTTCTGTTATAAATCAAAATGGGGCAAGCGAGCGCAAAACATGAAGTATCGGCGGCTAGCAAACAAGGCAATCCTCAGCACCTTAGATCAAAATATAAATAGTTGCGGTATGCAGCGCCATAAATAAATGTAAAAACACAAAGTCTCAGAATAATCGCTGGAACATAATATCAAAACTCTTGAATATAAAAGTCTGGTGTATAATAAATGTAGCACAAATGTTCCTATAGATTGAGCACATATACAATGTACCCCAATATCAGGACCTTCAGACGTTCGTAGAATCTAGTACAATAATGTGCTTACCACAAGAACATACAATCTGAGCGTTGTATGCATGTCATCAGGTATACCATCAGCACCTGGAAAAATGGCCTGGACAGCAATGAAGACAGCAACCAGTCATCCACGGTAGGCACTCCGGGGGCCTCAGCAGACACTCGGGGGTCGCATCTGGTTCTCCGGTGGGTCCAACGGCGTCCAGCCTCCTGGTGGTACTTCTCCTCGGATGGTCCACCTTGCACGGCTCGTGAATAACGAGCCAAAAGGCAAAAAGCACTAATGGTGAAGTACGTCTTTATTTTGATAAACAGCTAAAATCAGTAAAAAAACTCACACTTAAGAGTTTCAGGAATTTCTCAAAAATCTTCCAAATATTTTCCAAGCTATACAGGGATCCCTGGTGGCCAGTGGTTCCCTGGTGGTTAATGGCGTCTGCTGGGTGGATCCCCTAACATGTTTCGAGCTCCAAGCTCGATAATGAGCTTGGAGCTCGAAACATGTTAGGGGATCCACCCAGCAGACGCCATTAACCACCAGGGAACCACTGGCCACCAGGGATCCCTGTATAGCTTGGAAAATATTTGGAAGATTTTTGAGAAATTCCTGAAACTCTTAAGTGTGAGTTTTTTACTGATTTTAGCTGTTTATCAAAATAAAGACGTACTTCACCATTAGTGCTTTTTGCCTTTTGGCTCGTTATTCACGAGCCGTGCAAGGTGGACCATCCGAGGAGAAGTACCACCAGGAGGCTGGACGCCGTTGGACCCACCGGAGAACCAGATGCGACCCCCGAGTGTCTGCTGAGGCCCCCGGAGTGCCTACCGTGGATGACTGGTTGCTGTCTTCATTGCTGTCCAGGCCATTTTTCCAGGTGCTGATGGTATACCTGATGACATGCATACAACGCTCAGATTGTATGTTCTTGTGGTAAGCACATTATTGTACTAGATTCTACGAACGTCTGAAGGTCCTGATATTGGGGTACATTGTATATGTGCTCAATCTATAGGAACATTTGTGCTACATTTATTATACACCAGACTTTTATATTCAAGAGTTTTGATATTATGTTCCAGCGATTATTCTGAGACTTTGTGTTTTACATTTATTTATGGCGCTGCATACCCCAACTATTTATAATTCTTCTGTTAGTTGTGGCTGCAATCTTTCTTGGTCTACCTGACTTTGGCTTGGTATCAAGAGATCCCTGAACTTTCCACTTCTTAACCACTTGCCGTCCGGCCCGCTGTATATAAACGGCGGCATGGTGGCAGTCCAGGGGGTTGCCGTTCAAAAACACCCGCATTTTCAAGCTGTGCACACTCCCTGGGAGCGCACAGCACCGCGATCCGGTGACCAATCACATGGGCCGGACAGGAAGTGGTGAAGTAGGTGGCTGCCTTCAGGCCTTTTCCTGGGCTAGTTTCTTTTCTGGCTCTACAGGTGGTCCTCCCACTGGGGGCGGTGAGGCTGAGTGATCCTCCTTTCAAGCACCCTGCCTGTAGGTAGGCCTCTTCCCACTGGGCCCCCTCCCATTCCCCTGCATCTCAGCCTCCTCACATCTTCTTCCCAAACTCTCCTGCTGCTGAGCAGGCTCTATCACTTTTAAGGGCTGTCCTGACCCCAAGCCAAGCCGCCTGCTTGGGGATTGGTCAGGATCCTTGTAAGAGTGCAGACCAGCTCTTCCTCACCCCAGCCCACTGTTTCTAGAATCTTCTCCAAGATTCTAGAGCAGAGGGAGGTATCAAGGAACTGATCTGCAAAGCCTCTCAGCCCTGACCTGAATTTGACCCAGCTGCATATTGACCAGTCGGCTACTCAGTCTTCTTACTAAAAATATTCAGCTAGATCCCCCAAGCTAACTAGGAGGGTGCTGCAGGATCAACCATGATTTTTGCAGCATACAGAAAAAGAATCCCATAATGACGGAGTGAGTATGAGCAGCATGTAGTGCAGCATTTGTTTGTAGCTTTTTATTATGTGGGTTTATTGACACTTAACCCACAACAGTACAATCAGTCTGTAGATGCAGTAAATCATGCTTGTTATACTCACTGTGGAACCTAAGGGGTTAATCCTCTGCATTGTGTAAAAAGGCTGTTTGATCCTGTCTTCTCTGATCCTCCCCTTCTTCTACTGTCCCCGATCCATCTGCTGATAGTACAGAGCGTTGGGGGGCAAGCTACACATGCTAAGTTTGGTGTGTATTGCCAGAATGTTTTTTTTTTCTTCCTGGGAGGGTGCATGTGATCAGCACAGGGCCAATCAGCCCTGTCCAGACAGAGGGTCAGGGGCCCTGTAGCCTCATAGGACAATCAGGGGAGAATGAAAACTCCTCCTACAAGCTGTATAGTGAATGCTGGGTCCGGGGAGAGCAGATATAGTGAATGCGGGGTCCGGGGAGAGCGGATATAGTGAATGCGGGGTCCGGGGAGAGTGGATATAGTGAATGCGGGGTCCGGGGAGAGCGGATATAGTGAATGCGGGGTCCGGGGAGAGCGAATATAGTGAATGCAGGGTCCGGGGAGAGCGGATATAGTGAATGCGGGGTCTGGGGAGAGCAGATATAGTGAATGCAGGGTCCGGGGAGAGCGGATATAGTGAATGCAGGGTCTGGGGAGAGCAGATATAGTGAATGCAGGGTCCGGGAAGATCAGATATTGTGGATGTGGGGTCCGGGGAGAGAGGATATAGTGAATGCAGGATCCGGGGAGAGCGGATATAGTGAATGCGGGGTCCGGAGAGAGCGGATATAGTGAATGCGGGGTCTGGGGAGAGCGGATATAGTGAATGCGGGGTCTGGGGAGAGCGGATATAGTGAATGCAGGATCCGGTGAGAGCGGATATAGTGAATGCGGGGTCCGGGGGAGAGCGGATATAGTGAATGCGGGGTCTGGGGAGAGCGGATATAGTGAATGCGGGGTCTGGGGAGGACAGATATAGTGAATGCAGGGTCCGGGAAGATCAGATATAGTGGATGTGGGGTCCGGGGAGAGAGGATATAGTGAATGCAGGATCCGGGGAGAGCGGATATAGTGAATGCGGGGTCCGGAGAGAGCGGATATAGTGAATGCGGGGTCTGGGGAGAGCGGATATAGTGAATGCGGGGTCTGGGGAGAGCGGATATAGTGAATGCAGGATCCGGTGAGAGCGGATATAGTGAATGCGGGGTCCGGGGAGAGCGGATATAGTGAATGCGGGGTCTGGGGAGAGCGGATATAGTGAATGCGGGGTCTGGGGAGGACAGATATAGTGAATGCAGGGTCCGGGAAGATCAGATATAGTGGATGTGGGGTCCGGGGAGAGCAGATATAGTGAATGCGGGGTCCGGGGAGAGCGGATGTATAGTGAATGCGGGGTCCGGGGAGAGCGGCTATAGTGAATGCGGGGTCCGGGGAGAGCGGATATAGTGAATGCGGGGTCCGGGGAGATCGGATATAGTGAATGCGGGGTCCGGGGAGAGCGGATATAGTGAATGCGGGGTCCGGGGAGAGCGGATATAGGATATAGGGTTGGCTACTGACCCAACAATACAACAAGCAAGAGATCCCTGAGCTCAAAACCCAACAGCTAGTGCATGCATTTATCCATCAGGTGCTAAAGGGGTGCAACCACATATTAACACTAGAAATTCTGAAGGGCCCTCTGCACTCTGGTACAGGGGCGGACTGACCATTTGGAAACTCAGGCACTGCCCGAGGGCCCGGGGTCAGTAGGGGGCCCCATGAGATTCCCCTGGTATCTTTTTCATAGGCTTTTTTGAGTTTGGGCAAGGACACAGGGGCCCCATGATCCCCTATTGCCCGGGGGCCCCATGAGTTTTCTGTCCGCCCCTGCTCTGGTATATACCCTTTCAAGCGGACTCTGCAATAAATAGGGATATTTAGTTCACACATATTGCAATGCATGTTATATTGTACAGCGCTGAGCAAACTCTTGGCTCCATATAAATCCTGTATAATAATAATATAATAATGTTTAAGCTGTGTAGGCAGAGCGGAGTAGGACTGGCCATAGAGGGATTACTTTGACGCAGTTGGTCAGCTTAAACACGCATTGCAATATGTGCGAATTCCGCACCGCATCAGAATCGCACCCCGTTCACGCGAACCACTGCGAGTGTGTATGTGTCAGGAATCAGGGTATGACCAGAGGGGTGTGGACTGACACAGGGAAACGCAGGCTTCAGATATGTTATAAACAATATAATTTATTAATACTAACAATACAAAACGCAGTGCAAAACTAAACCTAAACACAGTGCAAACAAACCAAACCAAACCACCCACAGATAACAATACATACAATGCAAGGGTTGTCAGGCAGGCCGGGTCAGTAGCAAACGGGCAAACGGAGTACCAGGAACAGGCGGGAGAGTGGTCGGGGTCACAAGCTGGGTTCAGTAACTCAAGGGCAGCGCGGTGCAGAGGGTCAGGCAGAGAATGGTCGGGGTCACAAGCCAGGGATCAAACAGGAGAAGTCAGCAGAGGTCAGGATCAGGCAGGGTCGGCAACAAGTCAGACAGGAACAGGAATGCAGGATACAGGGGCCCATGGAAAAACACACACCACGGCCCTGACTGTGAGTCTGGCCATTCCTTAAATACAACCCCCGCAATCAGCTTCAGGTGTTTGGCTGATTGCAGGGGTGAGTCTCTGATTGCTGAGAGCACCCGCTGGCCAGCCCTGGTACTGCAGCCCACAAGGCAGGTGAGTCCCACCATTATTGGCAAGTCCATTCCTGACAGTATGTTAACAACACCTCGAAAGCGATGCGCAAAACGCGGTACAATGTGCTGAATTGGATCGCATAGGTGTGACTACTCATGCGATCTGATTCTAGTGTGGACCAAAAAAAAGGGTCCTGCACCTTTTTGGTGCGATTAGAGCCATACAAAATGTACGTCTCCGATCGCACCGCACGCAAATCGCATGTGATTTGTACAGGAATGCGTTGCGGTTCCTGTGCGAATCACATGCGATGTACTGCACCGCACATATGTGAACCGGGCCTCAGTGTGAAAGTAGCCTATCAAGTTGACATTTTATGTACCCATCTACGCCAAAAGGTTGGTGCACTTTGTCAAACTGCGAACTATTGTAAAATGTGCGAAAATCTGGATTAACGTGAGGATTATTTTCCTGCAGTGTGTTACAGGGTCTCTTCAGCCGCACAATCTACATGTTGGAGAAAGGAATGAAACCCGTCTATGTATTTGATGGAGTACCGCCAGAATGCAAGCGTGCCAAGGTGAGCCTGTGACGTGAGCCCGGGGGCGGGGGGGGGGGGGGGGGGGGTGCCGGGTTTTGTGGTCACTGGAGGATATTCTGTAGGTGCCACCCACATGGAAGAGAAATATATTTTAAATATATATTTTTAAAATATTCTTCCCAAATACATTGACATATATTTGAAATGCTACAATTTTGGCCGTATTCAATATATTTCTATATGTATATTTATGCGGACACAGTACAGGAGATGACCAGAGACTGCAGACATAGTACAGGAGATGACCAGAGACTGTGGACACAGTACAGGAGATGACCAGAGACTGCGGACATAGTACAGGAGATGACCAGAGACTGCGGACACAGTACAGGAGATGACCAGAGACTGCGGACATAGTACAGGAGATGACCAGAGACTGCAGACATAGTACAGGAGATGACCAGAGACTGCGGACACAGTACAGGAGATGACCAGAGACTGCGGACACAGTACAGGAGATTACCAGAGACTGCGGACATAGTACAGGAGATGACCAGAGACTGCGAACACAGTACAGGAGATGACTAGAGACTGCAGACATAGTACAGGAGATGACCAGAGACTGCGGACACAGTACAGGAGATGACCAGAGACTGCGGTACAGGTACAGAGATGACCAGAGACTGAGGACATAGTGCAGGAGATGACCAGAGACTGCGGACACAGTACAGGAGATGACCAGAGACTGCGGACACAGTACAGGAGATGACCAGAGACTGCGGTACAGGAGATGACCAGAGACTGCGGACACGGTACAGGAGATGACCGGAGACTGCGGACACGGTACAGGAGATGACCAGAGACTGCGGACACGGTACAGGAGATGACCAGAGACTGCGGACACGGTACAGGAGATGACCAGAGACTGCGGACACGGTGCAGGAGATGACCAGAGACTGCGGACACAGTACAGGGGATGACCGGAGACTGCGGACACGGTACAGGAGATGACCGGAGACTGCGGACACAGTATATTAGATGACCAGAGACTGAGGACATAGTACAGGAAATGACCAGAGACTGAGGACTTAGTACAGGAAATGACCAGAGACTGTGGACATAGTACAGGGGATGACCAGAGACTGCGGACACAGTATATTAGATGACCAGAGACTGAGGACATAGTACAGGAAATGACCAGAGACTGAGGACTTAGTACAGGAAATGACCAGAGACTGTGGACATAGTACAGGGGATGACCAGAGACTGCGGACACAGTACAGGAGATGACCAGAGACTGCGGACACAGTACAGGAGATGACCAGGGACTGCGGACATAGTACAGGGGATGACCAGAGACTGCGGACACAGTACAGGAGATGACCAGAGACTGCGGACACAGTATATTAGATGACCAGAGACTGAGGACATAGTACAGGAAATGACCAGAGACTGAGGACACAGTACAGGAGATGACCAGGGACTGCGGACATAGTACAGGGGATGACCAGAGACTGCAGACATAGTACAGCAGATATCCACAGTCTCTGGTCATCTCCTGTAGTAGGAAGTAGAGGAGGGAAGCTGTGACAATCGCGACGTCAGACCCCTGCCCTTCTCACCAAACTCGTGACCGAAGGACTAGCCAATCTAAAACCGCGATGTCACATGTGTACCAATGCCACGCCCAGCTGCACCCTGCACACAGATTTTCCAGCTAATGGTCCACAACCTGTGTACTTGCAGCCTGAGAGCGATTGTTACTGGGTCAGGTTAATTACGCAATTAACCCTTCACACTGCCACCACCTCCTTTTTGTACAGAGAAAGAGGAAACTCGGCAATATCAGCAATACCACTAGGATGGTTGAAATAATCGTCTGTATACCACTGTCACTGCAGACAGGTTATACAGAGGGTTAAACACACATAGTAGCGCTCTTCAGCGGCAGGAATTCGTAAGTTGCATTAAAGAGCTTTAGAAACAGTTCACCACTTTCAGAAAGTAAGATTTATTACTAAAAGGTCAAAAGGATGCAATAAAAATATTTACAGAAAAAAGATGTAGCCAATATATTTATATAAATATACAGAGAACAATAGCACAGCAAAGAGATAACAGAAAGAAGTTTAGGTAGATACTTGCCAAAAAGCCTTGGGTTAAGCAGCTTCAAGTCTCATGAGTCAAAAAGGATTTCTTGTCTCTACTGCTAGTTTCGATGTTAAAAGCAGGAGACTCTTCTCTTAACCAGACTCCAAGCATAACAGCCTTTTTCTAGCAAATCCCAGCAGGATGTCTCTTTGGAGTAGTAACCAATGGTGTCCTTTTGGGGAGGGAAATGTAGGTGGAGCCCTAAGTTATGATCAGAAACTCTCATAGCTGCTATTAAGATTCATAACTTTTCCTAGGTACATGTAACATTCCACCCGCTAGTAGATTAATATGCAGATGCATCTGCGGAACGGTTAGATATGAAATATGAAAGATACACTTGAATGGTTCAAGAGATATACTTTTCTGCTTTTCTATATATGCCAGCTAAGGGGTGTCACATACCAGGAGAATAGCCTCAAACTGAGCCTTCCGAATATAGGCTCCATGTTTAGGTAATTATGTCCTACATGAAGATATCAACTTATAGGAAAAGTGAGTTTTTAAAAGTCTGTTTTTACGACCCCTTGGAAGGTCTTTTGAAGTTCAGTGAGGGACTCGGTTTATACTTTTACGACATGCCAGATTGCACAGTTTTTTTAGACAGCTAGGCCCCAGCTCCCTTGGGGGTTTTATAGCTCAGAGCTCCCTGCTGTGCTTTGGCTGCCTGTGACCTCTGCCAACACACACTGGCCACGTCACTGTGGATGAACAGAGAGGGAGAAGGATGAGAGATCTACAAGATGGAGGGGGCAGGCTGCTTTGGGAGTGAGAAATGGTATAACGATTGCTACAGAAGCTGGCAGCACTGTGGGGGTGGTGGCGTACATGGGGGTGTGGGCAGTAGGGGAAAATGTATGGTGCGCATGGAGGGTAATGGGTACTGCGGTGGAGGGGGGTGCAGTCACTGGAACTGATCCCCTGTATGGCTCTTTCTGCAGCAGCTGAAAACCAGCGAGAGGAAGAGGAAGTCAGCTTTCAGCTGCTGCAGAGAAAGCCATACAGTGCCTGCCCCCCTACTAGTCTGGGGCCCCATACAGGAGGTCTGGTGGTACCCCCTTATCCATCTACAACTCATGATACAATATTGTGATGGTCAGTTGAAGGAATACTCCTAATACATGTGACAATTGGGAAAAATGAACCCCTTACAGATGGCTAAAATGATCAGTGGTGTCAGTGGGGAACTTATCTGAGAGGCAGAAATTGCTCAAGGAACCCCTAGCAACCCCCTGGAGGAACCCTGGTTGAGAAACCCTGCTGTAGACCATGCTAAAACATGGCAGCCATCTTGATCTCTGGAATTGATCTTCCAAAGCTTTATTTATAATCAGCATAGTTCTAAGCACGGTGTATACATAGGGGTTGATTGACTAAAGGCAAATAGACTGTGCACTTTGCAAAGTGCAGTTGCTCCATTGCTTAGTAAATGAACAGAAGCTCAGCTGACTTCCATCATCCAATCAAGCGCAAGCAAAAATGCAGTTTTTTTACATTTTCCTTGCAGGTGATTGGGTATCCTTTGCAAAGTGAAGCTTCATCTCATTTACTAAGCTCTGGAGCAACTGCAATTGTAGAGTGCAGTCTATTTGCCTTTAGTAAATCACCCCCCCCCCCCTAGTTCTGCCAGGAGGCTCTGGCTGATTCTCCTCTTTCTATTTGCCATTCTTCTTTTTCAGGTCAACAAAGATGGAAGTGGTCATATCAGGAAAGGAGTCAGAACTGGGCAGTTCCCAGGTGAGAACATGACTTTATACTTGTACGTGGTGTGCAGGGGCTGACTGACCATCTGGAAACTCGGGCACTGTCAGGAATGGACTCGCCAATAGTGGTGGGACTCACCTGCCTTGTGGGTTGTTGCAGTACCAGGACTGGCCAGCGGGTGCTCTCAGCAACCAGAGGCTCACTCCGGCAATTAGCCACCACCTGGGGCTGATTGCGGGTGGTGTATTTAAGGGATGGCCAGACCTGCAGTCTGTGCCTTGTTGTACTGTTTGCTTAGCCCTGGTTTCCTGATCCTGTTACTTCTGTCCTGACTCTGCTTGAACTCTGCCTGTACTGACCTCGGCTAGTCCTGACCACTCTCCTGCCTGCTCCTGGTACTCCGTTTGCCCGTTTGCTACCGACCTGGCCTGCCTGACTACTCTTGTATTGTATGTTTGTTATCTGTTGGAGGTTTGGTTCAGTTTGTTTGCACTGTGTTTATGTTTAGTTTTGCACTGCGTTTGTATTGTTAGTCTTAATAAATTATATTATTTACTATATCTGAAGCCTGCGTTTCCCTGTGTCAGTCCACACACTTCTGGTCATACCCGCATCCCTGACAGGCACTGCCCGAGGGCCCGGGGTCAGTAGGGGGCCCCATGAGATGCCCCTGGTACCTTTTTCATAGACTTTTTTGAGTTTGGGCAAGGACACAGGGGCCCCATGATCCCCTATTGCCCGGGGGCCCCATGAGTTGTCAGTCCGCCCCTGGTGGTGTGTATTAGTCTGTGCTCTGGACTGCAGCCTCGCTGAGTCCATTGCATGGGGTGTATCCTGCATATGAAGGAGCATCCTGTGTATTAGTCCCCAGTCACACCGATGCGACTTTGAAATCTTGCGACTTCCAGTTCCTCTGGACACAGCAGGAACCGATCGCGGTGCCGCGCGCTCCCAGGGAGCGCACACAGGCAGTGAACGTGGGTGACATTTAGAAACGTCAACCCGCTTCGGAAGCATTTATCTACGTGTGCCAGACGGGAAGTGGTTAAAATAGCTAAAATCCCTGCGAGTGTCGGGACGTACGGGGATGGAACCGGCGGGAATTTCAAAAATGTAAACATTTGATATTCACTAAATACACTAAAATCACATAGTATAACATTCCTGTATCCAACCATTTCACATACATTTTGTCCCGAGTGCTTTGTCCGGCGCCCTGCCTGCATTTTTATTGTTCTTTCTGCCTGGAAACTGAGAAACGTCCATGGCGTCCGAAAAGCGTCCCTTTAGGTCAGACGCGGTTTTAGACCGGCTAGAGAACAGCGATAGTAAATCAGAACCACTTGCAGAATTGAGTGATAATGATTGGTGGGGGAAATTCCTCATCAGACACTGAAAACGATTCTGCGACTGAGCTCAGCGACGTGCGAACTTGGCGCTCTATTTCACATTTCAGTGTTTTTGGTTTGATTATATTGTTGAATTAAATTTATTATTATTATATTATTATTTTTGATGATTATTTATTGTGTTATAATTTATGATTTAGTGTTTAAAATTTTATCCTCCCCGGGATGTTTACTAGACTCTTGTTCGGACAGATTTCAGTGAGTTATTCTTAAGAATTACAGGCCTACAATAAAAAAACAACATATTTCCATGCAAAAAAATGTACCGCTTTGAGCACAGAAATACTGACATAATCAGACCGCTAGGGAGGTTAAAGCATGAATAATCATTGGTCAGACAGTAAATGTCTATGAGTCTTCCAAGCATCCCATTTTTTGTCAAATAAGTGCATCCTATCCAGTAACGTAAAGTGACTGGGCAGCACAGCGGCTAAATGGTTAGCACTTCCGCCTGGCAGTACTCGGGTCGTTGGTTCGAATCCGAGCCGCCGCACCTCCTGCCTGGAGTTTGCATGTTCTCCCTGTGCCTGCGTGAGTTTCCTCCGGGTACTCCGGTTTCCTCCCACACTCCAAAGACATGCTGGTAGGTTAATTGGATCCTGTCTAAATTGGCCCCAGTATGTGTATGTATGAATGTGAGTTAGGGACCTTAGGTTGTACGCCTCTTGAGGGTTAGGGACTGATGTGAATGTACAATATATATGTAAAGCGCTGCGTAAATTGACAGCGCTATATAAGTACCTGTAATAAATAAATACTGTATTTTCCGGTGTATAAGACGACCCCCTACTTTTCCTGTTAAAAATATAGGGTTTGGGCTATAGTCGCCGTATAAGACTACCCCTCTTCCAATGCACACCAATTAAAAATTAAAAAAAATTCAGATTTGATTTCAATATGGTATGGTATTCCAGTGATGGGGCACTATTCCTCCCACTGACACCAATGATGGTGCCCCATCATTAGTGTCAGTGTGTGAGGAATAGTGCCCCATCATTGGTGTCAGTGGGAGGAATAGTGCCCCATCATTGGTGTCAGTGGGAGGAATAGTGCCCCATCATTGGTGTTAGTGGGAGGAATAGTGCCCCATCATTGGTGTCAGTGGGAGGAATAGTGCCCCATCATTGGTGTCAGTGGGAGGAATAGTGCCCCATCATTGGTGTCAGAGCGAGGAATTGTGCCCCATCATTGGTGTCAGAGCAAACAATCGTGCCCCATCATTGGTGTCAGTGGGAGGAATAGCACCCCATCATTGGTGTCAGTGGGAGGAATCGTGCCCCATCATTGGTGTCAGAGCAACAAATCGTGCCCCATCATTGGTGTCAGTGGGAGGAAGAGCACCCCATCATTGGTGTCAGTGGGAAGAATCGTGCCCCATCATTGGTGTCAGTGGGAGGAATAGCACTCCATCATTGGTGTCAGTGGGAGGAATAGCGCCCCATCATTGGTGTCAGTGGGAGGAATAGTATCCCAACATTGGTGTCAGTGGGAGGAATAGTACCCCGTCAGTGGGGAGAGGAATAGTGCCCCATCGTTGGTGTCAGTGGGAGGAATAGTGCCCCATCATTGGTGTCAGTGGGAGGAATAGTGCCCATCATTGGTGTCAATGGGAGGAATAGTGCCCCATCATTGGTGTCAATGGGAGGAATAGTGCCCCATCCTTGGTATCAGTGGGAGGAATAATGATACCATCATTAGTATCAGTGACACCAATGATGGGACACTATTCCTCCCACTGACACCAATGACACTTGCTGACTCCTGTTCCAGTATGGTGCTGCTGCAGCCAGCATATGTGGTTGCAGCAGCACCTCTGCACACTGCACACTTACCCTCACTCGATTTTCGCGGGTCCGCTCGGCTCCGCCTCCTCGCCCGTGATTTGCCGCCTGTGTGCCTTTCCTGAGCTACAGTTCTGGCGGCCAATCACCGGTGAGGAGGCGGAGCCGAGCGGCAGGAGTGAGGGAGTGGCCGGAGTGGCTGAAGGAGCCGCGCTTCCTGGACCGGATCGTCGTGGGAGCCAGGTAAGAGACTGCAGCCCTCTGCCCACCCCTGTACTTAGTGTCCCTTCCGTCGGAAGGGGGGGACGGCGGCGGCTCCGCGCCGCCCCCCCTAAAAAGTGCCGCCCCGACGTATACCGGGGTATAAGACGACCCCCGACTTTTGAGAAGATTTTCAAGGGTCAAAAAGTCGTCTTATACGCCGGAACATACGGTAAATTCCATGAGCATTACCGCATCGACTCTTCGTATAATTGAGGCCAATGGTACCGCAGGTCATTTCCAATGAAGGGCAATGGCCCATAGGGCTGAGATACAAAGGGTGTGAATCAGCCTCATATCAATGTTCATTTTTGACAGCAGTGACGGGACAATTCGAAGGGGCAGGAAGGAAAACTTTTTTCCGTCAAACGAATTTTCGGCCAGTGGATGTGGTTATTGTTCAGCGATTGCATTCACCGACCGTTGAAAGAATTTTCGTACGACTTTTCGTAGGAATGTTCTTGTCCGAAACTCTCCACATGTATGGCCAGCTTTAGTCAGCTATGCTGCATGTGAAGAACTGATGATGACGGTTGTGTATTGCATGTCACCTACACTATCTTGCGTCCTAATGTCTCCGGTCTGACAAGCTGCACCTCCGTCAGTCCTCATTCGCAACGTATGACCGTTTGTCACCTTTTTCTATCTTATAATATTCAAAACTCCTCCATGTGTGTCACTGCAGGGTCAGAGAGACATGGAGACCTGAAGAAACTGCTCGAACTCCTGGGGGTGCCTGTTATACAGGTGAGATTGACGTATACCATATCCTATTCTGAATTTATATAACTCTCACATATACAGAGAACACTGATCTTGTCGCAGTGGTCTCTGCACCAGAGGAGCTTACACTCTAATGTCCGCCCACAGTCACACACTATTATTATTATTATACATTTATATACAGTTGCAAGAAAAGGTATGTGAACCTCTTGGGATTCCGTGGAGTTTTGCATGAATTGGGCATAAAATGCGCTCTGAACGTCATCTAAGTCACAACAATAGAAGAACACAGTCTGCTGAACATAATACTACACAAACATTAGATGTTGCCATGGTTTAATTGCACATAACATGTAAACATTCACAGTGCAGGGAGGAATGTGAACCTTTGGACTTAATAACTGGTTGACCCTCCTTTGGCAGTAATAACCTCAACCAAACATTTCCTGTAGTTGCAGATCAGACCTGCACAACGATCTGGAGTCATTTTGGACCACTCCTCTTCACAAAACTGTTCCAGTGTAGCAATATTCTTGGGATGTCTGGTGTGAATCGCTCTCTTAAGGTCAGGCCACAGCATTTCAATGGGGTTGGGGTCAGGACTCTGACTGGGCCACTCCAGAAGGCGTATTCTGTGCTGTTGCAGCCATTGTTTTGTTGAATTACTTGTATGCTTTGGGTCATTGTCCTGTTGCCTCACCCATCCTCTGCGGAGCTTCAGTTGGCGGACAGATGGTCGTACGTTTTCCTTCAAAATGTCTTGATAAACTCTGGAATTCATTTTCCCATCAATGACAACAACCCAGGCCCTGAGGCAGCAAAGCAGCCCCAAACCATGATGCTCCCTCCGCCATGTTTCACAGTGGGGATGAGGTTTTGATGTTGGTGTGCTGGGCCTTTTTTTCTCCACACATAGTGTTGTGTGTTCTTCCCAAACAACTCAATCTTGGTTTCATCTGTCCACAGTATATTTTGCCAGTAGTGCTGTGGAACATCCAGGTGCTCTTTTGCAAACTTCAAACGTGCTGCAATCTTCTTTTTGGACAGCAATGGCTTCCTCCGTGGTGTCCTCCCATGTACTCCATTCTTGTTTAATGTTTTCCTTATTGTAGATGTGTCAACAAAAATGTTAGCATGTGCCAGAGATTTCTGTAGGTCTTTAGCTGACACTCTGGGATTCTTCTTTACCTCATGCAGCATTCTGCGCTGTGCTTTTGCAGTCATTTTTACAGGACGACCACGCCTAGGGAGAGTAGCAACAGTGCTAAACTTTCTCCATTTGTAGACAGTCTGTCTTACCGTGGACACATGAACATCAAGGCTTTTGGAGATACTTTTGTAACCCTTTCCAGCTTCATGCAAGTCAACAATTCTTGATCGTAGGTCTTCTGAGAGCTCTTTTCTGCGAGGCATGGTTCACATCAGACAGTGCTTCTTGAAACCAGTAAACCCAAAACAGGTGTGTGTTTTTTAAGGGCAGGACAGCTGTCAGCAACACATCCAATATCATCACACTGATTGGAGTCAAGGTTGGCTCACTCCTGGCTCCAATTAGCTCTGGGAGAAGTCATTAAGCTAGGGCCTCACATACTTTTTCCTCCCTGCACTGTGAATGTTTACATGTTATGTGCAATGAAACCATGGCAACATCTAATGTTTGTGTAGTATTATGTTCAGCAGACTGTGTTCTTCTATTGTTGTGACTTAGATGACGTTCAGAGCACATTTTATGCCCAATTCATGCAAAACTCCACGTAATCCCAAGGGGTTCACATACTTTTTCTTGCAACTGTACACTTGTAACGGAACCGACCCCAGTCTGCCCTTGGGTACTTCCGTTATAATACCGCTTCCCCTTCCGAACACCAACAACAGACACCACCGCTGACCATACAAGACTCGAGGACACCAGTCTGTCTGAACATGGAACTCTTTATTTGAAACTCGAACTGGCTTTTTATACACTCAAGGGACAATCCCCCCTCCCTGCATAATGACACAGGGCGGGGCAATCTCTACTTTGCAACAAGTGTCACACAGGTATTCAAACTAAACACCAGCAGACAGTCCCATCAGGAGGGAGAGCTGCTGGAGACACTAAGCTAATACACATAAACACATACATCCCATAATAGTTTGCTCCCAAGCAAGACACACAATAGAACAATGGGATGCAGCCACATGATATTAAACACTCAACAACCCCCCACCCCAATATTAGGACAGATCACCCTGTACCCCTAACAGGCACAGGGTGACTTACACATAAGAGGGATATGGGGAGCTAAAACAGGGGTCTCCCCACCTCTCCAAAGTGAGCTGGGTTCCATGGGCCCCCCACCCAAAGTGACTCCTGTCACAACACTATATTGCCAAAAGTGTTGGGCCTCCTCCAATGTGATTCAGGTGTTCCAATCCCCTCCATATCATGTGATTCAGGTGTTCCAATCCCCTCCCAATCATGTGATTCAGATGTTCCAATCCCCTCCATATCATGTGATTCAGGTGTTCCAATCCCCTCCATGTCATGTGAGTCAGGTGTTCCAATCCCCTCCCAATCTTGTGATTCAGGTGTTCCAATCCCCTCCCAATCATGTGATTCAGGTGTTCCAATCCCCTCCATGGACACAGGTGGATACAATCAAGCCCCTAGGCATGCAGACGGCTTCTACAAGCATTGGTGAAAGAATGGGTCGCTCTCAGGAGCTCAGTGACTCCAAGCGTGGTCCCGTGATAGGTGGTCACCTGTGCAATAAGTCCATCCGTGACATTTCCTGGCTACTAAATATTCCACAGTCAACTGTTAGTGGGATTATAACAAAGTGGAAGCAACTGGGAACAGCAACTCAGCCACCAAGTGGTAGGCCACGTCACATGACAGGGCGGGGTCAGCGCATGCTGAAGCGCACAGTGCGCAGAGATCGCCAACTGTCTGCAGAGTCAATAGCTAAAGACCTCCAAACTTGGTGTGGCCTTCAGATGAGCCCAACAACAGTGTGTAGAGAGCTTCATGGAATGGGTTTCCATGGCCGAGCAGCTGCATCCAAGCCTTCCATCACCAAGTGCAATGCAAAGCGGCGGATGCCGTGGTGTAAAGCACGCCACCACTGGACTCTAGAGCAGCAGAGACGTGTTCTCTGGAGTGACCGATCGCGTTTCTCTCTTTGCCAATTGAGATTGTGGGGGGTCTGAACAAGGGGGCTCCCAGATCCCAGCCCCCCCCCCCATGTGAATGAGTATGGGGTACATGGTACCGCTACTCATTCACAAAAACGAAAAGTGTACTGTAAAGAAATAACAAAAGACAGTCTTTGACAAGTCCTCTATTAAAATTTTTTTTTTTAAATGACCCCCGAAGTAGATCCAGTGCCAATCATGATGCCCACTGCCATCCCGAAAAAAGAAAAAAAAAAAAAACTCTCCACTCTCAATGCTGGCTCCCAGCTATCTAAAAGCTGCGCCGGGATGATAGTTCTTAAATACTGTGATAATGTCACAAGGGGTCGGGGGTCACCCCTGCCCTTGTGACGTCATCATGCGCTGTGATTGGCCAAAGCATTGCACCTGACCTCTGGTTGGGTACACTGCTTTGGCCAATCACAATGCACTGTCAGGGTGCAGTGCATTGTGGGGCGCAATGGGCATATACCCCGCCGAATGACCTTGCCATTCCTGTGTTCGCCGAACACACGAGCAGCCGGTGTTCGAGTCGAACTTATGGTCAGCTCAAAAGTCATACCCAACACTACATAAGAGGTAGCATACGCTATAGTAGCTAATAAAGACATCACCTGTATAGTATATGTATATGTACTATACAGGTCAAGCTGGCCCAAACTAACTCTTTAACCACTTCCAGTCCGGACACGCTTTCCCCCCCTTCCAGTCTGAACACTTTCCCCCCATTCCAGTCCAGACACTTTCCCCCCCTTCCAGTCCAGACACTTTCCCCCCCTTCCAGTCTGAACACTTTCCCCCCCTTCCAGTCTGAACACTTTCCCCCCCACCAGTCTGAACACTTTATCCCCCCCTTCCAGTCAAGGACCACTTTCCCCCCCTTCCAGTCCGACAGTTTTACCCCCCCTTCCAGAACACTTTCCCCCCCTTCCAGTCCGAACACTTCCCCCCCCTTCCAGTCCGGACACTTTCCCCCCCTTCCAGTCCGGACACTTTCACCCCCTTCCAGTCCGGACACTTTCCCCCCTTCCAGTCCGAACACTTTCCCCCCCTTCCAGTCCGGACACTTTCCCCCCCCCTTCCAGTCCGGACACTTTTCCCCCCTTCCAGTCCGAACACTTTCCCCCCCTTCCAGTCCGGACACTTTCCCCCCCCCTCCTTCCAGTCTGGACACTTTTACCCCCCTTCCAGTCTGGACACTTTTACCCCCCTTCCAGTCCGGACACTTTTACCCCCCTTCCAGTCTGGACACTTTTACCCCCCCTTCCAGTCCGGACACTTTTACCCCCCTTCCAGTCCGGACACTTTTACCCCCCTTCCAGTCCGGACACTTTTACCCCCCTTCCAGTCCGGACACTTTTACCCCCCTTCCAGTCCAGGACCAATTTTCAGCTTTTAGTGCCATCACACTTTGAATGACAATTGCGCGGTCATGCAACACTGTACCCATATGAATTATTTAGCATTTTTTTTTTCAGACAGATAAAGCTTTCCCCCCCTTTTTTATTTTTTTTTGCTATATAAATTTCCCCCCTTCCAGGGTAAAAAAGTTTGAAAAAAAGTGTTTTTCCATAAAATTTTGCAAATAAATAATATTTCATCATAAATCTCGGCCAAAAATTATTCAGTTATCTTTTTAGTAAAATAAAATAACCCAAATTAGTTTATAACCAAAAAATATACTTTTTTAAAACTTTTTTTACATTTGTATTTTATTTTTTTATATATATATATCTATATATATATTTTTTACATACTGTCACCCTAGCAGTACAGTCACCATGGTGACACTGTACTACTTGCGGGGGTGGAAGATTTTTTTTTTTTTTTTTTTTTTTTTTTTTTTTTTTTTTTTTTTTTTTTTTTTTTTACACTGATTGCTTTTACACCCATAAAGGCTGTAAAAGCAATCATTTCTCCCTTCTCTCTGGCCGCATTCTTGCAGCCATTGAGAAATACTGTGTGAGCTGTGATTGGTCACAGCTTGTCACATGGTACAAAGGTGTTGTTCCCCCCTGTACCATGTGATCTCTGTGATCAATCACAGATTTCACACGTAGTAAGCAATGATGTCAGAAGTGACATCTTGCTTACTACTCTGCATGTGATCACTGATTGGCCAATCGGTGATCACATGATCGGGACCTTGCACAGAGGTCGCGTACGATGATCAGTGTTCCACTGTGTCCAGTGGATTGCGGTGCTGCGCACTCCCACAAGCAGGGGGCAGGAAGGCCGCACAAGCAGGGGGCAGGGAGGCCGCACAAGCAGGGGGCAGGGAGGCCGCACAAGCAGGGGGCAGGGAGGCCGTTTAAAAACATCCACCCAACCCTGCACTGCCACCGTCCGGTATTTATTTACAACGGGGCTGGATGGGAAGTGGTTAAAGTGATAGCAAAGCCAGATTCAGGCTTTATGCTTTCAGCTTTAAGGCATGGGATGCAGAACCAGGAAATCTCCGAAAAGGAAAGCTATGGGACTGAAAATGGTCATAGGGTGGAAAAGGCTCAAGAGTTATATGAAAAGCAGCAACTTGGATTACGCTGTGTCTCTGTGTCTCAGCTTGTACCTCTCGTCAGGACCAGATTCACACTTTCAGACTGCAGTTGCTGTATCCTAGCGTGATTGGTGGACCTGGGCAATGATGACAGCTCATTGCGCCAACATCTTGGGGCATTCTTGCTTTCAGTGGGTGGGTTCCCAATGACATACAGACAGGTTCAGCGACTTTTGTAGCCTTCGTTTAATGGTTGTTAAGGCTCCACCCGTTTTGATAAGCCCCACCCTTTTTATTTTTCTATTTCATATGATACAGAACGGTGTGCCACTACTTTGTCCATGTCATGCATGAGAACGGTTGATTCCTTCCAATTGGTGGGGACTATTCATATATGTACTCCTTTGACTCACAGACTGCATAGTGAAGGGATGGACACTGCTCAACTGACCCCAGGAATCCAATATTGAGGAATGGCCTCAGCCGCAGTTCTGGCCACGCCCTCTGATATATTACATCCCACCCACCGGGGGCTTGGTCACCCCCCAGTGGGCGGGACAAAACACATCAGAGGGCATGGCCAGAACGGCAGCTGAGGCCATTCCTCAACATTGAACTCCTGGGATCGGTCGAGCAGACTCATGCTCCCCTCTTCTCACATGTTGGTGGGGTGATCCTTTTCCTTCCATCCATGGCTTGGAGCGTCCATCTCTTCATTTGCATTGGCTGACACTGGAATCGCTCGGACTCATGCTCATGCTCTTCTCACATGTTGGTGAGGTTGGTTTTCCATTTCCTTCCATCCATGGCTTGGAGCGCCCATCCCTTCACTTGCATTGGCTGACACTGGATTCGCTTGGACTCATGCTCCCCTCTTCTCACATGTTGGTGGGGTGATCCTTTTCCTTCCATCCATGGCTTGGAGCGTCCATCTCTTCATTTGCATTGGCTGACACTGGAATCGCTCGGACTCATGCTCCCCTCTTCTCACATGTTGGTGAGGTTGGTTTTCCATTTCCTTCCATCCATGGCTTGGAGCGCCCATCCCTTCACTTGCATTGGCTGACACTGGATTCGCTTGGACTCATGCTCCCCTCTTCTCACATGTTGGTGGAGTGATCCTTTTCCTTCCATCCATGGCTTGGAGCACCCATCCCTTCACTTGCATTGGCTGACACTGAAATCACTTGGACTCATGCTACCCTCTTCTCACATGTTGGTAGGGTGATCCTTTTCCTTCCATCCATGGCTTGGAGCGTCCATCCCTTCACTTGCATTGGCTGACACTGGAGTCTCTCGGACTCATGCGCCCCTCTTCTCACATATTTTTTGGTTGATCCTTTTCCTTCCATCCATGGCTTGGAGCATTCATCTCCTCATTTGCATTGGCTGACACTGGAATCGCTTGGACTCATGCTCCCCTCTTCTCACATGTTGGTGGGGTGATCCTTTTCCTTCCATCCATGGCTTGGAGCATCCATCTCTTCATTTGCATTGGCTGACACTGGAATCGCTCGGACTCATGCTCCCCTCTTCTCACATGTTGGTGGGGTGATCTTTTCCCTTCCATTCACAGCTTGGAACAGCGCCATAAGGCATACTTTTCACAGACTTCAGAGCCACATACGGAGCTTTTTGAGTGTGACCATCTCTTGCGAGATCTAAAATGGAAGCTGTGATTCACCTTTGATACGAAGCTGGTTTGTGTACTCGCCAGCAGACTCATGTTGTATCCATAAATTTTCAGTATATGTTCTCCTCATCGTGTCATGTCTCCTCTCTTCTTCTCTCAGGCTCCCAGTGAGGCAGAAGCCACTTGCGCCACCCTGGTGAAGAACGGTCAGGCATGGGGAGTGGTGACGGAGGACATGGACGCTCTGCCTTTTGGCTGCACTCGCCTCATACGAAACTTGAAAGCTGATGAGAAGAAGTATGTGTCTGAGATATTCTTAATCATAGATTATTTAATGTAGATAAGATGGAGAACTGAATAACTATTGGATGAAGTTGTGATCCATTTGGGGGGGATGACATATTCCATTGCCCCGGTCACTTCCTGACTTCTCCTGACCAATACAAATTACAGCTGACCCACCGCACCCTGGAGTGCTCTTAAAGTGCCTTGAAAAAGTAAACCCCTTGAAATTTTCCACATTTTGTCTTGTTACAACCAAAAATGTAAATGTATTTTATAATTCTATTTTGTAATAAAAATGTGTATGTGTGTATATATATATATATATATATATATATATGATGTACATTTGTGGAGGAAGATTTCTTCTTCTGGCCAAGCTTCCAGAAAATATATCTGGAAGTATACAGTTGCAAGAAAAAGTATGTGAACCCCTTGGGATTACGTGGAGTTTTGCATGAATTGGGCATAAAATGTGCTCTGAACGTCATCTAAGTCACAACAATAGAAGAACACAGTCTGCTGAACATAATACTACACAAACATTAGATGTTGCCATGGCTTAATTGCACATAACATGTAAACATTCACAGTGCAGGGAGGAAAAAGTATGTGAGGCCCTAGCTTAATGACTTCTCCCAGAGCTAATTGGAGCCAGGAGTGAGCCAACCTTGACTCCAATCAGTGTGATGATATTGGATGTGTTGCTGACAGCTGTCCTGCCCTTAAAAACACACACCTGTTTTGGGTTTACTGGTTTCAAGAAGCACTGTCTGATGTGAACCATGCCTCGCAGAAAAGAGCTCTCAGAAGACCTACGATCAAGAATTGTTGACTTGCATGAAGCTGGAAAGGGTTACAAAAGTATCTCCTTGAGCCTTGATGTTAATGTGTCCACGGTAAGACAGACTGTCTACAAATGGAGAAAGTTTAGCACTGTTGCTACTCTCGCTAGGCGTGGTCGTCCTGTAAAAATGGCTGCAAGAGCACAGCGCAGAATGCTGCATGAGGTAAAGAAGAATCCCAGAGTGTCAGCTAAAGACCTACAGAAATCTCTGGCACATGCTAACATTTTTGTTGACACATCTACAATAAGGAAAACATTAAACAAGAATGGAGTACATGGGAGGACACCACGGAGGAAGCCATTGCTGTCCAAAAAGAAGATTGGAGCACGTTTGAAGTTTGCAAAAGAGCACCTGGATGTTCCACAGCACTACTGGCAGAAATATACTGTGGACAGATGAAACCAAGATTGGGTTGTTTGGGAAGAACACACAACACTATGTGTGGAGAAAAAAAGGCACAGCACACCAACATCAAAACCTCATCCCTACTGTGAAACATGGCGGAGGGAGCATCATGGTTTGGGGCTGCTTTGCTGCCTCAGGGCCTGGACGGATTGTTGTCATTGATGGGAAAATGAATTCCAGAGTTTATCAAGACATTTTGCAGGAAAACGTACGACCATCTATCCGCCAACTGAAGCTCCGCAGAGGATGGGTGATGCAACAGGACAATGACCCAAAGCATACAAGTAATTCAACAAAACAATGGCTGCAACAGCACAGAATACGCCTTCTGGAGTGGCCCAGTCAGAGTCCTGACCTCAACCCCATTGAAATGCTGTGGCATGACCTTAAGAGAGCGATTCACACCAGACATCCCAAGAATATTGCTACACTGAAACAGTTTTGTGAAGAGGAGTGGTCCAAAATGACTCCAGATCGTTGTGCAGGTCTGATCTGCAACTACAGGAAACGTTTGGTTGAGGTTATTGCTGCCAAAGGAGGGTCAACCAGTTATTAAGTCCAAAGGTTCACATACTTTTTCCTCCCTGCACTGTGAATGTTTACATGTTATGTGCAATTAAACCATGGCAACATCTAATGTTTGTGTAGTATTATGTTCAGCAGACTGTGTTCTTCTATTGTTGTGACTTAGATGACGTTCAGAGCACATTTTATGCCCAATTCATGCAAAACTCCACGTAATCCCAAGGGGTTCACATACTTTTTCTTGCAACTGTATATAAAATATTCTTCCCAAATATATTCACATATATTTGAAATACTACAATTTTGGCCGTATTCAATATAAATACCTTCCCATCAGCCAGCATTTTTACAAATAAATATCTGAAAAGTGTGGCGTGCATTTGTATTCAGCCCCCTATACTATGATACCCCTATCTAAAATCTAGTGAAATGGAGGAAATATATATTTTAAATATATTTTAAAAATATTCTTCCCAAATATATTGACATTTTTTGACAGTATTTGAAATACTACAATTTTTGTAATATATAAAAAACGCATTTCAACATGCAGAATGTGTGTGTGTGTTGAAATGCGATCATTTTAACATATATCTTTACATATATTTGTAAATGCATTCCAAAAAATGTAGATTAAATGTATTTTTAAAGACATACAGTACTTAATTTTAAAAATATTTTTCATATAGTTTGTATTAAAAACACATTTGAACACACAGAGTGTATGTATGTGTGTATATATATATATATATATATATATATATATATATATATATATATACACACACACATATATACTGCATGTTGAAATTCGTTTTTTATATTTTTTAAAATATATATTTTTAAAATAAATTCTACAGATTTTTTAAACATATATTTTTACATATAGTTGTAAATGCATTCCAAAAAATGTAGATTAAATGTATTTTTAAAGACATACAGTATATTTGAAAATTTATTTTTAAAAATATTTTTCATATATTTTGTAATAAAAATGCATTTCAACATACAGAGTATATATATATATATATATATATATATATATATATATTGAATGTGGCCACAATTGTAGTATTTCAAACATATGTCAATATATTTGGGAAGAATATTTTTAAAATATATTTCAAATATATTTTTCTTCCATGTGGGTTATTAGGATGTATGTCGATATGTCATTCTCCACACCAGTCCTCTGCCGGTCCATAATGCTTTGCAGCTGGCCTGTGGCTCCTCATAGGAGGACTCACCTATACCTCGGTGATTGTATACGGTGGACATGATATCTGTTTCTTCCAGGAATATTGAAGAGTATCATCTTCCTGACATCCTGAGCAAACTGCAAATGACCCAAGAACAGGTGGGTTCTGCCTTTGACACCAACATAGTCCAGAGTGCAGTACATTGCTTGAAAATTTGCCTCATTGTGTTACGCGTAAAAAATACTTTAAAATAACTGGAGCTCTCTGGGTGCCCTGTGTAATTAGAAGGATGTTACTCTCTGCCGGAACGTGACAACCCTTCCCAGATTCAGAGGAGGTTCCCCGTACTGTGTAATTAGAAGGATGTTACTCTCTGCCGGAACGTGACAACCCTTCCCAGATTCAGAGGAGGTTCCCCGTACTGTGTAATTAGAAGGATGTTACTCTCTGCCGGAACGTGACAACCCTTCCCAGATTCAGAGGAGGTTCCCCGTACTGTGTAATTAGAAGGATGTTACTCTCTGCCGGAACGTGACAACCCTTCCCAGATTCAGAGGAGGTTCCCCGTACTGTGTAATTAGAAGGATGTTACTCTCTGCCGGAACGTGACAACCCTTCCCAGATTCAGAGGAGGTTCCCCGTACTGTGTAATTAGAAGGATGTTACTCTCTGCCGGAACGTGACAACCCTTCCCAGATTCAGAGGAGGTTCCCCGTACTGTGTAATTAGAAGGATGTTACTCTCTGCCGGAACGTGACAACCCTTCCCAGATTCAGAGGAGGTTCCCCGTACTGTGTAATTAGAAGGATGTTACTCTCTGCCGGAACGTGACAACCCTTCCCAGATTCAGAGGAGGTTCCCCGTACTGTGTAATTAGAAGGATGTTACTCTCTGCCGGAACGTGACAACCCTTCCCAGATTCAGAGGAGGTTCCCCGTACTGTGTAATTAGAAGGATGTTACTCTCTGCCGGAACGTGACAACCCTTCCCAGATTCAGAGGAGGTTCCCCGTACTGTGTAATTAGAAGGATGTTACTCTCTGCCGGAACGTGACAACCCTTCCCAGATTCAGAGGAGGTTCCCCGTACTGTGTAATTAGAAGGATGTTACTCTCTGCCGGAACGTGACAACCCTTCCCAGATTCAGAGGAGGTTCCCCGTACTGTGTAATTAGAAGGATGTTACTCTCTGCCGGAACGTGACAACCCTTCCCAAATTCAGAGGAGGTTCCCCGTACTGTGTAATTAGAAGGATGTTACTATCTGCCGGAACGTGACAACCCTTCCCAGATTCAGAGGAGGTTCCCCGTACTGTGTAGTCATTGGGTAACGCATACCCAGGATCACTTGCTGCAGGATGCTTCTATAGACTAGGGATGCTCAACCATTTGAAGAGCAAGGGCCACTTAAGTTACATAGTTAGTCTGGCTGAAAAAAGACAAAAGTCCATCCAGTTCAACCATAAAAGTTTTTTTTTTATAATCCTACACCCACAGTTGATCCAGAGGAAGGCAAAAAAACCCCAGCAAAGCACGATCCAATTTGCTCCTGCTGGGAAAAAAAAATTCCTTCCTGATCCCCACAGAGTGAATTGGATATTTCGTGGATCAACTTTACCTATAAATATAATCCAGTTATATTCTGTGTATCCAAGAAAGAATCCAGGACTTTCCTACAGCAATCCACTGAGCTGGCCACAACCAACTCCTGAGGGAGTCTATTCCACATTCTCACAGCTCTTACTGTGAATAAACCTTTCCATGTTTGGAGATTAAATCTCTTTTCCTCCAGACGTAAAGAGCGCCCCCTTGTCCTCTGTGATGACCGATATGGTAACTAGTAGTGGGCCACACTGAAATAAAATTGTTCAGAATTTCACATTTTTTATTTCGAATAACATATTGAACATTCTCCTCCTGCAGCTGCTGAATGTCGGCAGGCGGGAGAGGAGGAGAAAATAGAGAGGATCGGTTCCTGTATATGTCTCTCCTCCTGTCCAAGTTTAACCACCTCCCGTCTGGCCGCTGTATATAAACGGCTGGAAGGTGGCAGTGCAGGGTCGGGTGGATGTTTATAAACGGCCTCCCCGCACCCTGCTTGTGCGCGCTCCCTGGGAGTGCGCAGCACTGCGATCCGGTGCCCGCTGTGTCCCCCGGACACAGTGGAACACTGATCGTCGTACGGGACCTCTGTGTGAGGTCCCAATCATGTGATCACTGATTGGCCAATCAGTGATCACATGAAGAGTAGTAAGCAAGATGGCACTTGTGACATCATTGCTTACTATGTGTGAAATCTGTGAATGATTGACCAATCAGTGAATGACCAATCACAGCTCACTCAGTAGTTCTCAATGGCTGCAAGAATGCAGCCAGAGAGAAGGAGAAATGATTGCTTTTACAGCCTTTATGGGTGTAAAAGCAATCCGTGTAAGAAAAAAAAAAATCTTCATCACCCCCAAGTAGTACAGTGTCACCATGGTGACACTGTACTGCTAGGGTGACAGTATGTTAAAAAAAATAAAACAAAACATAAATAATAATATAAAAAAAAAAAAAAAAAATAAAAACAAATGTTTAAAAATTATAATTTTTGGTAATAAACTAATTTGGGTTATTTTTTTTTTTTTTACTAGAAAGATAACGGAATAAATTGTGGCCGAGATTTATGATGAAATATTTTATTTATTTTATAAGAAAAACATTTTTTTTTTCAAACTTTTTGGACTTTTTCATTTACAAAGCAAAAAAAAAATAAAAATCCCAGTGCTGAATAAATACCACCAAAATAAAGTTTTATCTGTCTCTAAAAAATGCTAAAAAAATTCATATGGGTACAGTGTTGCATGACCGCGCAATTGTCATTCAAAGTGTGATAGCGCTGAAAGCTGAAAATTGGCCTGGACAGGGAGGGGGGGAAAGTGTCCGGACTGGAAGGGGGGAAAGTGTCCGGACTGGAAGGGGGTTAAAGTGTCCGTACTGGAAGGGGGGGGGGGGGAAGTGTCCGGACTGGAAGGGGGGGAAAGCGTCCGGACTGGAAGGGGGGGGAAAGTGTCCGGACTGGAAGGGGGGGGGGTTTGTTGTGTGAGCGTCCGGACTGGAAGGGGGGGGGGGGAAAGTGTTTGGACGGGAAGGGGGGAAGTGTCCGGACTGGAAGGGGGTTAAAGTGTCCGGACTGGAAGGGGGGGGGGGGAAAGTGTCCGGACTGGAAGGGGGGGAAAGCGTCCGGAATGGAAGGGGGGAAAGGGGAAAGCGTCGGGGGGGGGATAGTGTCCGGACTGGAAGGGGGGGAAAGCGTCCGGACTGGAAGGGGGGGAAAGTGTCCGGACTGGAAGGGGGGAAAGTGTCCGGACTGGAAGGGGGGGAAAGTGTCCAGACTTGAAGTGGTTAAAAGAGAATGTGACAGGGAGGCCGCATGGGCCCTCTGGAACATGGGGCATAGTCACAAGTGGTTGGGGGAAGAAGAACCAGAAGAAGCATCTGCTTATGCAGCTCCTGCTCTCTCCGTGGCTGCCTGCTTCCTCTGCTGCCAGCGCTGGCTCGATGTACTCTGATGCTCTGGGATGGGAGGTTGGAAAGCCCATATTGCAATCAATGGGTTGCCCACCCTGGGCATGCGCTGCCCTGGTTTGAGGTTGAATGCCACATCAGGGGGCTCTGAGGGCCGCATGTGGGCCTGTGGGCCACAGGTTGAGCACCCCTGCTATAGACATTGTGACACCGGATAAAGAGTTACCCAGGATCCCTTGCTGCAGGGGTATATCTATATGTTGTGTAATCATTGGATGAAATATTGCCTAGGATCCATGGTGGAGAAGTCTGGCTATTATAACTCCTCTCATTGCGCCATCTTTTATTTGGAGATGATCGACTTACATTACTGTTACCCTATCCTAGGGCTGGAAAGCTCGGTCACGAACAAATCATGGTTAATATTTTATACCACCGATGCAGAGCAGTTTTCTCTGTTGTCCAGATAACCAACCATGTTGCCATTGTCACTGTGTAATTAAACTTTAACCTCTTTTTTTTTTTTTTTGTTTGATTTCCCTTCACTTCCTGTTGTCCTGTAGACACAACTGGAAGGGGAAATCTCTCCAAAGTCTTCTTGGACAGTTGCCACTGGGACAACTTTATGTGTAAGTCACCCTGTGCCTCTTAGGGGTACAGGGTGGAATGTCCTGCTATTGTGTAGACATGGATAGGTGGGGGTTGTTCATTGTTCACTGCCATGTGGCTGAATCCCATTGTTCTATTGCGTGTCTTGTTTGGGAGCAAACTATTATGGAATGTGTTTGTGTATTGGCTTGGTGGGGGGTGTTTCCGGCAGCCCTTCCCCCTGATGGGACTGCCTGCTGATGTGTTTCCTGTTAATGAGTGTGTATTTTCCCGCCCTGTGTATATATCTTGTATCTATGTTAAAATAAAGCAGTGTATCTCCTGGAATCCTTCAAGTCTTGTGCTGTCTCCTCTTGTATGGTCAGCGGTGGTGTCCGTGGATCTGTGTTCGGACAGGGAAGCGGGAGTCTAACGGAAATACCCAAGTGCAGTCGGGGTCCGGTTCCACCGACAACAGATACCACAGCAGACCATACGAGACTAGACGACACCAGTCTTGAAGGAAAACCAGGAAATAGACTACTTTATTTTAACACAGATACAAGATATATACATTCAAAAGAACAAGTCCCTCCCCTCCCTGCATAATGACACAGGGCAGGGCAATCTACATTTAGTAACAAGAGACACACCAGCAGACAGTCCCATCAGGAGGGAGGGCTGGAGACACCCCCCACCAAGCCAATACACATAAACACATACAGTACATCCCATAATAGTTTGCTCCCAAGCAAGCCACACAATAGAACAATGGGATGCAACCACATGGCATTAAACAATCCATAACCCCCCACCCCAATATGAGGACAGATCACCCTCTACCCCTAACATGCACAGGGTGACTTACACATAATAGGGATATGGGGAGCTGAGACAGGGGTCTCCCCACCTCTCCAAAGTGAGCTGATTTCCATGGGCCCCCCCGCCCAAAGTGACTCTCGTCACACTCTGTTCCTGTTCTTATGACAACTTTGAAGTTTTGGATTTCCTGTCGTTTTCAGTCCCGACGACATTAGTCCCCTGGAGAGGACAAGTCGCTCAGCAGGGACATGGACAGCAATAAAAACCTCACAGAGGGTCTAAATCTCCCCTAATCTATCCAAAACTAAAAAAAAAGATTCAAGCTTTAGATACCCTTTGATATTCATGTGTTATTTTATCTCTGTAGTTTGTAGACATGTGCATCCTGCTGGGTTGTGATTATACTTCAAAGATCAAAGGTTTGGGGAAGAAGAAAACATTAAAGATGATTCATGAATATGGAACCATTGAAGGTATCCTTCCAACCATCGACCCAAAGGTGAGATGACTGAGGACTACATCCTCCTATCAGTCAGGGTTTTATAGTTCTGTACATTATCAGCGTTGAAGGAATTAATGTCTCAGCTTGCATATATATATATATACACACACACACACACAGTTGTGTTCAAAATACTAGCCGTCAGACATCACTAACCGGATCAATCACTGTTTTTGGTAGAAATGATATCTCTACATGGCAAATAATTTCCTAGCAGGTGTAGTAGAGTCATAGAAATCCAACAGACCCAACAGTCATGACATGCATGCTGCTGATTCTGTGTCATTGAATCACTCATTGAAAGGGGCGTGTTCAATATAATAGCCGTGTGGAGTTCTATTAGTGACGTCATTCATTCTTTGATAAACAGGTGGCAATTATTGCCCTTATTTAAGGAAGGAAGGCAGCAAATGTTGGACATGCTGGTTACAGTGCATTTCTCTCTGAAATTCTGAGGAAAATGGGTGGTTCCAGACATTGTTCAGAAGAACAGCGTACCTTGATTAAAAAGTTGATTGGAGGGGAAAACATATAAAGAAGTGCAGAAAATGATCGGACTGCTCAGCTAAAATGATGGCAAATGCTTTAAAATGGCAACCAAAACCTGAAAGACGTGGAAGAAAGTGAAAAACTACCATTGGAATGGATAGAAGAATAGCCAAAATTATTATTATTAGTACATCGAGTTTATATAGCGCCAAAGGGTTTGCTCAGCGCTGTACAATAGAGGGGGGGGGGACAATACATGAAACAGTACAGCAACAACAAACGAGGGGTTCGAGGGCCCTACTCTTTCGAGCTTACAATCTAGAAGGCAGGGGGTAGTGGTACAGGAGGAAGTGGCTGTGGGGGATGGAGTGGTAGAGGAATGAAGGAGGACGGCTGTTACCGTATTTTTCACCGTATAAGACGCACTTTTTCTTCCCCAAAACTGGGGGGGAAAGTTGGTGCGTCTTATACGACGAATAGAGAGAGAAATCCGTGAGGAGCGGCCACGGCCGTAGGAAAGGCCGCGGCTTTGGCCTATCTCTGGAGCGGTCGGCCATCTTAGTACACCCGGCGGTGCGCGCTGACTTCATCACCCCCTCTGCTCGTGGATCAGCCCTGAAGACCGGAACGGCGCGGGAACACGGCGAGAGGAACGCGCGGAGCAAAGGTAAGTGAATTGACACAATATGGGGAATGAATTACTATATGGGGGATGAATTACTATGGGGGATGAATAACTATATGGGGGATTAATTACTATGGGGGATGAATTACTATAGGGGGGATGAATTACTATATGGGGGATGAATTACTATAGGGGGGATGAATTACTATATGGGGGATGAATTACTATATGGGGGATGAATTACTATATGGGGGATGAATTACTATGGGGGATGAATTACTATATGGGGGATGAATTACTATGGGGGATGAATTACTATGGGGGATGAATTACTATAGGGGGGATGAATTACTATAGGGGGGATGAATTACTATATGGGGGATGAATTACTATATGGGGGATGAATTACTATATGGGGGATTAATTACTATGGGGGATGAATTACTATGGGGGATGAATTACTATATGGGGGATGAATTACTATGGGGGATGAATTACTATATGGGGGATGAATTACTATATGGGGGATGAATTACTATGGGGGATGAATTACTATATGGGGGATGAATTACTATATGGGGGATGAATTACTAAATGTATTGGGTTCAGAATCTTTTTTTTTTCTAGTTTTTTCTAGATTTTCCTCCTTTAAAATTGGGTGCGTCTTATATTCCGGAGCGTCTTATATGGCGAAAAATACGGTAGGTAAGGGTGGAGTAGGCTTCCCTGAAGAGGTGGGTTTTCAGGGAGCGCCTGAAGGTGAGGAGGGAAGGCGACAATCTGATGGATTGGGGTAGTGAGTTCCAGAAGATGGGGGAGGACCAGGAGAAGTCTTGCAGTCGTACAAGGGAGGAGGAGACCAGGGAGCAAGACAGAAGGGAGGTCCTGTGAAGAGTGAAGGGTACGGGTTGGGTGGTACTTCGGAATCAGGTTGGTGAGGTAGTTTTGGGCGGCGTTGTGTATGGCTTTGTAGGTCAGAGTTAGCAGTTTGAATTTGATGCATTGGGCAACCGGGAGCCAGTGGAGGGAGAGGCAGAGGGGGGTGGCAGAGGTGGAGCGGTTGGTGAGGTGGATGAGTCTAGGCCAGGGGGTCTGCAACCTTTAAGACATAAAGAGCCACTTGGACCCGTTTCCGAAGGGAAAAAAAAAGACTGGGAGCCGCAAAACCATTGCAACATTTATAACAAATCCGACACTGCATATATTGCAAAAAGCACTCTGGTCATGAAGGGGGTTTAAGGGCCCAGTAAGCAAAGGGTTAATCAGGGCCACAGTGTATCTTCATAATCACAATCATAGCCTTAGGTCAGTGGTGGGCAACCTTTTTTTTCAACTGAGCCAAATCTCGCCAAAACCACGATTGAAATTTATTTTGACAGCCACATTTTTAAAACTGAAAATACATCCCCCATATAGTAATTCATCCCCCATAGTAATTCATCCCCCATATAGTAATTCATCCCCCATATAGTAATTCATCCCCCATATAGTAATTCATCCCCCATAGTAATTCATCCCCCACATAGTAATTCATCCCCCATAGTAATTCATCCCCCATAGTAATTCATCCCCCATATAGTAATTCATCCCCCATATAGTAATTCTTCCCCCATATAGTAATTCTTCCCCCATATAGTAATTCTTCCCCCATAGTAATTCATCCCCCATATAGTAATTCTTCCCCCATAGTAATTCATCCCCCATATAGTAATTCATTCCCCATATAGTAATTCTTCCCCCATAGTAATTCATCCCCCATATAGTAATTCTTCCCCCATAGTAATTCATCCCCCATATAGTAATTCATCCCCCACATAGTAATTCATTCCCCATAGTAATTCATCCCCCATAGTAATTCATCCCCCACATAGTAATTCATCCCCCACATAGTAATTCATCCCCCACACAGTAATTCATCCCCCACATAGTAATTCATCCCCCATATTGTCTCAATTCACTTACCTTTGCTCCGCGCGTTCCTCTCGCTGTGTTCCCGCGCCGTTCTGGTCTTCAGGGCGGACTGAGAGAGGAGTTCGTCACTCTGCCCCGCCTACATCCTGGCTGCCCCACCTACATCCTGACAGCCAATGTTCCACGCTCCGCGGGCCGGATTTTTGAGGAGGGAGGGGAGCGGGCGCCCGGCACACAGAAGAGCCGCATGTGGCTCGCGATCTGCGGCTTGCCGACCACCTGGTGGGCAGTGTGCTCCGGAGCCGCAGCAAAGATGAAAAAGAGCCGCATGCGGCTCTGGAGCCGCGGGTTGCCGACACCCGGTCTAGGCGCTGAGTTCAGGATGGTCTGAAGCGGGGAGAGCCTGCGCTGGGGCAGGCCGGTGAGAAGGGAGTTGCAGTAGCCAAGGCGCGAGACAATCGGAGTGCACGAGTAGTTTAGTGGTGTCTGGGGTAAGGAAGGAGAGTATCTTGGCGATGTTGCGGAGGTGGAGCCTGCATGTGTTTGTAAGTAATTTGACATGAGGTTGGAAGGAAAGGTTTGAGTCCAAAGTGACGCCAAGAGCTGGCTTGCGGGATTGATGGTGGTGTTGTTGGTAGTGATGGCTAGGATGGGGGGGGCACGGGCAGGGGGAAAGACGAGGAGCTCGGTTTTGGAGAGGTTAAGCTTGAGGAAATGGAGCGACATCCAGTCTGAGATGTCGTTTAGACCGGAAAATGGGGCGGACTCAGCCAACAATCAGCTCCAGGAAGATGAAAGAAGGTGTGACGTTCCCTGTGAGGACTGTTACAATTAGAAGACGCCGATGTGAAGCCAAGCTATCTGCAAGAAGTCCCCGCAAAGTCCCACTGTTGGGAAAAAGACATGTGCTGAAGAGGTTACAATCTGCCAAAGAGCACATTGACCGGGCTAAAGAGAAATGGTGCAACATTTTGTGGACTGATGAAAGTAAGATTGTTCTTTTTGAGTCTAGTGGGCGAAGACAGTTTGTCAGACGACCCCCAAACACTGAATTCAAGCCACAGTACACTGTGAAGACCGTGAAGCATGGTGGTGCAAGCATCATGATATGGGGATGTTTCTCATACTACGGTGTTGGGCCTATTTATCGCATACCAGGGATCATGGATCAGTTTGAATACATCAGAATACTTGAAGAGGTCATGCTGCCTTATGCTGAAGAGGAAATGCCCTTGAAATGGGTGTTCCAACAAGACAATGACCCCAAACACACCAGTAAACGTGCAACATCTTGGTTCCAGACCAACAAGATGGACGTTATGGAGTGGCCAGCCCAATCCCCGGATCTTAATCCAATAGAAAACTTGTGGGGTGACATCAAAAATGCCGTTTCTGAGGCAAAACCAAGAAATAGAGAAGAACTGTGGAATGTGGTCCAATCATCCTGGGCTGGAATACCTGATCACAGGGGCCAGAAGTTGGGGGACTCCATGCAACACAGATGTACAGCAGTTCTCAGAAACAGTGCGACTACAACCAAATATTCATGAAGTCATTCAAAGGAAAGCAAAATCTTCAACCATTTCTCAGTTTATATAGTGAATGTTTGAGTTTGTAAAGAAGAATACAAACACGGCCATTTTTTTGAACCGTCTAATATTCACTTTTCTTCCATTTTTTTAGAGGAACAACACAAATTTGATGTATTTTTCTTCATGTTGTGATTTGGAATAGAATGTGTCGTGTTCCCAATGCATTTGTGTGGATGGAAATAAAAGCTATTAGAAGGATTTTCAGCTTTATTCACTTTTTTCAACACACTGCTATTATTTTAAACACAACTGTATGTCCCCCATCGTCTGTTCTCTTCCATGTATATTGACTCCATCATCTGTCATCTTCCATATTTCCAGATATATGTCCCCCATCGTCCGTCCTCTTCCATGTATATTGACTCCATCATTTGTCATCTTCCATATTTCCAGATATATGTCCCCCATCTTCTGTCCTCTTCCATGTATATTGACTCCATCATCTGTCATCTTCCATATTTCCAAATATGTCTTGTCCATTCTCCCTATTTTTTTCATTTTTCCAATTATATCTCCTCTATTGTCCCTCATCTTCCATACTTCCAGATATATCTCCTCCATCATCCCTCATACTCTGTAGTTCCATATCTTCCATGTCCACCCCTCCTCAGATCCCTTCTAAGGAGTTACTTTGTACATTTTACAGGATCGTATTCCCCCGGATTTCTGTTACCAAGAGGCTCGAAAACTGTTCCTGGAGCCGGTTGTAGTTGATGACACCTCTCTCAGTCTGGAATGGAAGAAGGTGGATGAAGACAAAGTCCTCCAGTTCCTGTCAAAGGAGAAGTGTTTGAAGTATGTGCGCTTAGAATGCAGATTGCCTGATTCCAGGAGAGAGGAAAAACTATTCATAGACTTACTAATGTCAAAGAGGCGGAGACTAAAGCCAGCCATACATGGATAGAACTTCAGTCAGATCAGCAGAGACAGTGGTTGCCTACCTGATACAAGCTGCTCAACCAGCACCGCAGGCTATAGCCAGCAGTGCTGATCATTGTATTCTAATGGTGGGGAAGTCTGCCCGCCATCAGGACACAATAGGAAGTGATTGCCTCATCCACCATGAATGTGTATGGGGATGGAATGAGGATGGGGGAATGGGGACATTTTTTTTTTCATTTAACTCTTTGGTTGAAAGAGCAAAAATGAATCATCCATGGGTTGCTTAACCTGCTCCTGCCGAGCGTCCGCAAATATGTGGCCCCCCTTCCTGGACCAGGCATTTTTCTGTGGGGCCACATATTTGCGTATTTGTCTTTGCCCTGGGAGCGCACTGCACGGCGTTTCCCAGCGCAGAGACCAAGAGCCCCGAGTCCCGTAGTAATGATCAGGACCTGGAACACCCGATTCCGAGTCACCTGGTCGCTGTGATAGCCTATGATTGGCTATTGATGGTAGTAATATTATCCTTTCCTAGTAATAGAGAATAGCTGTGATGGTAGTAATACCATCCTTTCCTAGTAATAGAGAATGGCTCTGATGGTAGTAATACCGTCCTTTCCTAGTAATAGAGAATGGCTGTGATGGTAGTAATACCATCCTTTCCTAGTAATAGAGAATGGCTGTGATGGTAGTAATACTATCCCTTCCTAGTAATAGAGAATGGCTGTGATGGTAGTAATACCATCCTTTCCTAGTAATAGAGAATGGCTGTGATGGTAGTAATACTGTCCTTTCCTAGTAATAGAGAATGGCTGTGATGGTAGTAATACCATCCTTTCCTTGTAATAGAGAATGGCCTGATGGTAGTATTATAACATCCTTTCCTAGTATTCGAGAATGGCTGTGATGGCAGTACTATCTTTTCCTAGTTATATAGAGAATGGCTGTGATGGTAGTAATATTATCCTTTCCTAGTAATAGAGAATGGCCGTGATGGTAGTAATACTATCCTTTCCTAGTAATAGAGAATGGCTGTGATGGTAGTAATACCGTCCTTTCCTAGTAATAGAGAATGGCTGTGATGGTACTAATACCATCCTTTCCTAGTATTAGAGAATGGCTGTGATGGTAGTAATACCGTCCCTTCCTAGTATTAGAGAATGGCTGTGATGGTAGTAATACCGTCCCTTCCTAGTAATAGAGAATGGCTGTGATGGTACTAATACCATCCTTTTCTAGTAATAGAGAATGGCTGTGATGGTAGTAATACCGTCCCTTCCTAGTAATAGAGAATGGCCGTGATGGTAGTAATATTATCCTTTCCTAGTAATAGAGAATGGCCGTGATGGTAGTAATACTATCCCTTCCTAGTAATAGAGAATGGCTGTGATGGTAGTAATACCATCCTTTCCTAGTAATAGAGAATGGCTGTGATGGTAGTAATATATCCTTTCCTAGTAATAGAGAATGGCCGTGATGGTAGTAATACTATCCCTTCCTAGTAATAGAGAATGGCTGTGATGGTAGTAATACCATCCTTTCCTAGTAATAGAGAATGGCTGTGATGGTAGTAATACCATCCTTTCCTAGTAATAGTATGGTAGAGAATGGCTGTGATGGTGGCTCTGAGTAGTAATACTATCCCTTCCTAGTAATAGAGAATGGCTGTGATGGTAGTAATACTATCCCTTCCTAGTAATAGAGAATGGCTGTGATGGTAGTAATACTATCCCTTCCTAGTAATAGAGAATGGCTGTGATGGTAGTAATACTATCCCTTCCTAGTAATAGAGAATGGCTGTGATGGGTAGTAATACCATCCTTTCCTAGTAATAGAGAATGGCTCTGATGGTAGTAATACTATCCCTTCCTAGTAATAGAGAATGGCTCTGATGGTAGTAATACCATCCTTTCCTAGTAATAGAGAATGGCTCTGATGGTAGTAATACCGTCCTTTCCTAGTATTAGGAGAATGGCTGTGATGGTACTAATACCATCCTTTTCTAGTATTAGAGAATGGCTGTGATGGTAGTAATACCATCCTTTCCTAGTAATAGAGAATGGCTGTGATGGTAGTAATACCGTCCCTTCCTAGTAATAGAGAATGGCTGTGATGGTAGTAATACCATCCTTTCCTAGTAATAGAGAATGGCTGTGATGGTAGTAATACCGTCCTTTCCTAGTAATAGAGAATGGCTGTGATGGTACTAATACCATCCTTTCTAGTATTAGAGAATGGCTGTGATGGTAGTAATACTATCCCTTCCTAGTAATAGAGAATGGCTCTGATGGTAGTAATACCATCCTTTCCTAGTAATAGAGAATGGCTCTGATGGTAGTAATACTATCCCTTCCTAGTAATAGAGAATGGCTCTGATGGTAGTAATACCATCCTTTCCTAGTAATAGAGAATGGCTGTGATGGTAGTAATACTATCTTTTACTGAATATAGGTAAGTATATACATCGTTTTTTTTTACACAGGTTAGTTAGAATGGGTGTTAGGAGGGGGAGGGGACATTTTATGCCTAGTTAGGTTTAAGATGGAATTCTACTTTATTACAGAGCTTTTCATCTATCAGGAACATTATTACATCCATTCCCTATTACTAATAAAGGATAGTATTACTACTATCACAGCCATTCTGTATAACTAGGAAAGGATAGTATTGCTACCATCACATCCATTCTGTATAACTAGGAAAGAATGGTATCTCCGTATAATAATACTGTGCTGTTCCCGGTAGTATCTTATCTCCGTATAATAATACTGTGCTGTTCCCGGTAGTATCTTATCTCCGTATAATAATACTGCGCTGTTCCCGGTAGTATTGTATCTCCGTATAATAATACTGCGCTGTTCCCGGTAGTATTTATCTCCGTATAATAATACTGCGCTGTTCCCGGTAGTATTGTATCTCCGTATAATAATACTGCGCTGTTCCCGGTAGTATTGTATCTCCGTATAATAATACTGTGCTGTTCCCGGTAGTATTGTATCTCCGTATAATAATACTGTGCTGTTCCCGGTAGTATTGTATCTCCGTATAATAATACTGCGCTGTTCCCGGTAGTATCTTATCTCCGTATAATAATACTGTGCTGTTCCCGGTTCCCGGTAGTATTGTATCTCCGTATAATAATACTGCGCTGTTCCCGGTAGTATTGTATCTCCGTATAATAATACTGCGCTGTTCCCGGTAGTATTGTGTATCTGTCGATTTATTACTGTGCTGTTCTCAGCCGTGTCAATGAAATCCTAGTATTGTGCTGGACTGGATGTCATCATGTTGTGTTCTTCCTTCCAGTAAGGAGAAGGTACAGCGAGCATTGCAGAGGCTCCATCCGGCTGAAACGCCAAGAAAGCGCAAAGCCAGGGGCCCATCGGCAGAGACGCAGAGGAAGATCAGCGATTTCTACCCAGCAAGAAAATCAGTGATTCAGGTGAGCAAAGTACAACAAGGCACCTTCACCTCACCTGCGCAGCTCTCAGTCACCTCACCTAGGCAGCTCTCAGTCACCTCACCTGGGAAGCTCTCAGTCACCTCACCTAGGCAGCTCTCAGTCACCTCACCTGGGCAGCTCTCAGTCACCTCACCTGCGCAGCTCTCAGTCACCTCACCTGCGCAGCTCTCAGTCACCTCACCTGCGCAGCTCTCAGTCACCTCACCTGCGCAGCTCTCAGTCACCTCACCTGGGCAGCTCTCAGTCACCTCACCTGGGCAGCTCTCAGTCACCTCACCTGGGCAGCTCTCAGTCACCTCACCTGGGCAGCTCTCAGTCACCTCACCTGGGCAGCTCTCAGTCACCTCACCTGCGCAGCTCTCAGTCACCTCACCTGGGCAGCTCTCAGTCACCTCACCTGGGCAGCTCTCAGTCACCTCACCTGGGCAGCTCTCAGTCACCTCACCTGGGCAGCTCTCAGTCACCTCACCTGGGCAGCTCTCAGTCACCTCACCTGTGAACAGAAGCACAGCTAGGAGAGCGGAAATGACAGTTAACACACTTTCCTGGAGGTCGAGGGGAGAGAGAGCACAGCCCATCCCTCCTCCCAGCTCTCCTCCTCCTCACCAGGTCTGGCCGGTCTCCTCCAGCGCTAAGCTGACAGGAGTAGTGAAGCTGCCACCTCTACTCCTATCAGGCTGTAGGCAGGAATTTTCCATTTGCTGCAAATAAAATATTGTAAATAAGTAATTTTTCTCCTTCACTGATGTGTTCTAATGAGGCTGCAGTGATGGGCACTGATAGGCGGCACTGATGGGCACTGAAAGGCAGCATTCATATATGGCACTGATAAGCGGCACTGATTGGAACTGTTAGGCAGCACTGACAGGCACTGATAGGCGGCACTGATGGGCCCTAATAGGCAGCACTGACTGGTATTGAGAGGCGGCACTGAGAGGCGGCAGTGACTGGCACTGGTTTAGTGTCAGCGTCCAGCCGAACACTGGTTAAAGCTTGTAGCAATACAAAGAAAACTGAGCATGTGCACAGTTCCTCCATGGGCTCTGTATTATCAGCAGATGGAATGGGGACAGTAGAAGAAAGGAAGGATCAGAGAAGACAGGAAAAAAAAAAAACTCTCTAGCAATACACACCAAACTGAGCATGTGCAGAGTGACTCCACACGATATGTCTTATCAGAAGATAAGAGGGGAACAATGGAAGAAGGGGAGGATCAGAGAAGACAGGTAAAGAAAAACCTCTCTAGCAATACACACCAAACTGAGCATGTGCAGAGTGACTCCACACGATATGTCTTATCAGAAGATAAGAGGGGAACAATGGAAGAAGGGGAG